TCAAGATGACTCTGTAGAATAACCCTATAAACTTGGAAATTTTATTTCTCTTCATGTTGTTGAGTTATACGTGTTCTGACCTAGTTGGGTCGCATGATGCGCACCGCTCGCTTGTCCGCGCCGCTCGCTTATCAAGTACGTTATACCAAGTAAGGCAACCATATGTGCATAATGATTATATTATTACCCGTCAGCATACCCTAACCTGCGCCAAAATGGCCCATGCCCCAAGGCGGTCCAAGACGCCAAGTCCGGGGGTTACTCATTTTTAAGACGACTCAGTTGCTTCGCAAGGCGTTCGCTGACAGCGCTATGCCACAAGTAGCCTCGAAATGCGTCTAGTCAGGATTAACTAAATTGGGGCCAGCCAACTCTGTAACACAGTTTATAAGGCGGTTAGCCCCTTTGAAGGTAGGTCGGGGCTCATCTCCTTTGGTTCATCGAATATCTGCATTTTTCATTCTAGTCCTTCGTTTTCATTCGCAATGTATCGCCTTCTCACGCTCGCTTTACCAATTTTGCTGCAATTCCATGGAGTGTTCGGTTTTGACTTGGACTTGGACAACGAAGGTACAAAACATCAAACGGCGCATGTGATACCCCTGTAACCGTTGTGTTAGCCTCGGTCAAAGACACGGCGAAGAAACTGGCGGATGGCATCTTCTCAGCGTACAAAGACTACCTTCAGCCGGGCGAGACCGTCGGGCTCTTCAGTGAAAGCGGTGAACCCTACTGGTGGTACGAAGCTGGCCTGGTCTGGAACTCCTTGGTCGAATACTCCTACTTGACTGGAGATAAACAATATGACGACATCGTTTCCGAGGCGCTTGTCTGGCAGATTGGCCAAGCAGGAAACGCCCCGTACCAGCCTGCCAACCAGACCCGGACTGAGGCCAATGAGGACCAGATTGTGTGGGCTCTCGCGGCGTTGACGGCCGCTGAGACGGGATTCAAAGAGCCAAAGAACATCAAGTGGCTGGATCTTGCGAAGGGAGTCTTTGACGCGCAGACGCAGCGGTGGGATGGTGAAACGTGCGGCGGAGGGTTGAGGTGGCAGATGCTTACTTTCAATGCCGGATATGACTGGAAGAACTCTGCTACTAATGCTGCGTTCTTCCTTCTTTCGGCACGTCTGGCGGCTGTCACCGGAAACAAGACCTACTCGGAGTGGGCAGAGAAGAGTTACAAATGGTCGCGAGACGTTGGCCTAATATCGGAGTCCTACGATGTCTTCGATGGCACAAATGTGCGATCGGGCTGCTCAGATGTGACTAAATCCCAGTGGACTTCCGTACATGCCATGTACATCGAAGGGTCCGCAGTACTGAATGAACTGGTAAGTTTACAGGATCAGAACACTTCCCTGTGCAACAACCTCAGATTGACTTTGATTTACACAGTCACGCAACTCCACTTTCCCTGCCGAAGGCCTTGCCACCAGATTCCGTGACAAATTCATCAGCGAACCCGAGAAGGTGCTCGTCGAGGCCGCATGCGAGGAACGCAACATCTGCGATACCAGCATGAGGTTCCTCAAGGGTATTGCCGCCCGGTTTCTTTGGCGCGCCGGAGCCACCTCCACTCCTGTCTCCGATGCTCTCGACGCATCCCTCCGGGAGTCCGCAAAGAAGGCAGCGCAAGAGTGTGAAGGCCAGGGTACTGAGCTCACATGTCGCTTTGTGTGGGCAGGGGAAAACAGGGAAAAGAGCAAGGTGGCTGAGGGCGGCTTACCAGAAGTCTTCAATGCGCTTTCAGTCGTCCAGGGTCGCCTGTATAAGAAGGCTGGTGCGAATGCATCTGCAGGTGGCAGTCCTGTGATCAATCCCTCAGCAAGTCCGTCAGGCGGTAGTCCTTCTGGAAGTCCATCTGGCACTCCCACTGGCTTTACCGCACCTCCACAAGGAACTGGAGCTGCTGGTAGGATCACTGTCGCCTGGATAGGCGCCACTTTGGCTGCGATGCTTTTTGCGGCAGGAATGTAGGTGCCTTCAAACTCCAACCCCACGGAAACACAACGCTGTAATATTATCACCGTAAATCGTTAATGTACATGAGAAGGACGGGTATGCAATCGTGAAAGTGAAGCGCTCATGAATGCAGAAATAACCTCAATCGCTCAGCAAGAAGTTGTTGGTCCAATGTGCCAAGATGCTCATTACGATGATCCGAGAACATTCCATTCCCATCTCAACAGGAAAAATGTGTTTGATGGGATTTGTGCCGGAAGGGGTAAGGCAACGATAGCATCCTAGTTCGATTTCTGCGCCTGTCCGTTGGATCTGATTTCAAGCTTCCGAGGCTTCCTTCTCTCTCTCTGCTCTCCATCAACCTTTCTTGGCCTCGTCGTCTCATTCTCTTCTCCGTTCCCGCTCCGTATTGTTCCGTCACCTTGGTTTTTCTGCTGCCCCTGCTCTCTCGCCAGAGCTTCCGCAGCCTCTCGCAACGCCTTGGGATCAGGTACGACGCCGTCTTCCTCCGCAGCATTCCCATCACTTCCCCCGTCCTTGGACTCCTTATCTTCATCTTTCGGCTCCTTATCTCCTTCTCCTTTCCCCTTCCCACCACCAATAGGAGGCAACTTGATCCACGGCCCGTGAATCGCCCCTACGCCACTGCCCACCAACGCTCCCAACCCCGTCGTAGGTATCGCAGTCACACCTCCCACCAATGTCCCGACCACAGTGCCAACGCCAGCTCCCACAGCCGTACCTATGCCAGCACCACCGACGCCGCCCTGAAAAGCACCGCTCGCCAGCATCCTAGCCTTCTTGCTGGCGCCATGGGCCTCGACTTCCTTGTCATAGGCATCACGGAGGAGCTTCTCGCGTTTTCTCGGATCGGCGATGTTTGAAGCGGTTTCTCGGAGTTTTTGCGCTATGCCTTGTGCTTGGAGAGCTTTCTCGGCGGCGTCAGCGGAGGCTTTCAATTCTGCGGTACTCGGTAGTTGCTGTTTCTCATTTTCTGCACTAGGATTTTCGCTGTGTGCGGATTTCTCGGCATGAGATGTGGCCATTATGGAGGATAAGTATGCAATCTGTGTCAAAATTGAAGAGGTGTTATGGCAGGCTTTCAGGGGATGCGGTTGGTGTTTGGTCGGATCTGGTCCAGGAATGACGTCACAGGTGAATAGCTAACCCTGCTGGCAGACCTTCGCGTTACAGCCTCATGACACTCCCAGACTATGATGGTAGTGTTCACTTGCAGTGTTAATTATCTAACTCGTTAGTAACGTATAACACAGACAAAAGTCAAGATCCGCCTAGACATTTTTCTAAGTTACGATCTCATGGCTTGATTTACTCCTTCCTATGTACCTAAACCTCCGCTCGGGTATCTAATGCATAATCCAATGTGAGCTATACAAGGAAAGACAAGACAAGGCAGCGTATGCAATAGTAACTCAAGAAATAGTGCCTAAGTTGGTCAGCTGATGCGGTCCATCCTCTTCTTCGCGATCTTCATCTTCCCGTCAACCCTAGAAGAAGTCAATACGTATTCATAGGAGACTACGTTCGCCAGAACCATATTCACATACCTTTCGACATCCTCGTCCAGTAGACCAAGCAGAGCATTCTGCTGCACTATCTCCTCATTGATCTGTACGCCCAGCTCCTTCATCCTGCGTACCACCTTCGCCAGGTCAACAAGATCCTCATCTTGTTCTTGGATGATTTGTTTCTGCAACTGCAATACGCCCTCGTTGTCCAGCTCGCGCGTTCGCTCAGTCTCTTTCAAAGGAGCACCGAGCACCCTCCGTCCTGAAGTTGGTCCTCCATTGCCGCCTTTGAACAAAGCCGCTTTCTGTTCCTTCGTTACCGCAGCTGAGGATGTCGATGGGGTTGATGAGCCAGTCCCGGCAACGGCGGATTTGACCGCCATGGAGTTCAGCACGCTTTCCAATCCCTCCCTCTCCTTTCGTGCCGCACTAATCATATCTCTACGCCGCCTGACTTCACCATCGCCCAGCTTCTCTCCACCCCATTCATCGACTCCCTTTCCACTCAGTCTCTCCAGCCCCTCATCGAGCGCAGATAATAGCGTCCCCGCTCGCACAAGTCCTCTTTTGGCATTTGCACCAGCCTCATGTTGTGCGGTCGCAGCCATAGCCTGCTCTCTCCTCGTAAGCCAGAGCCTTGCATCCTGCAAATTCCGCTTAACATCCGCAAACTTGTCGAGCCAGTCCGAAGAGTCCCGCACTCTGTCCTGTCCGAACTGCGCGCCCGGAACAGCAGGTGCCTGCTTATCATTCAGGTTCAAGAAATCCCGGTATGCCTTGCTGACCCGCCATCTCCCATCGTCACTTGTCTCTATAGCCACCAGGTAGTTCTCCAACCCTTCCTGCCGCTTTGCAATCTGCTCGGGAGATCCCAAGGTATTTCCAATCCCCAACTTCCCTAAGGAGCCGCCAATCCAGCTCTTTGGAGGGAGCGACACCGGTGGAGGCGCACCGACTTGTGAACGAAGTGCGCTGTCGAGAGCATCGAAGTCGGAATACCGCTTGCGGATCGTTGTTGTTGTGCGAGGGAAAGGGTGTGTAATCCGGATCTCATACTCGACGTACGGTTTTCCATTCGAGGAGGGCTGAACGGTGTGGGTAGCGGGTATCGTTATGCGCAGAGGCGCCATGTGATGCGGATGTGGAGGGTAAAGTGAACGGAATGCGGGGAATCGGAAAAGGTAGCGCGATCGCAAAGGCTAGTTACCGCACTGTATCATCAGTTATAGAATAGGTCCGAGAGTATTGTTCACGTATTTGTTCAAAAGCTAGACAGGAGGAAGGCGGTTACGGTGAGGGGTGTTGGCGTTGTTGGTGTTGAGCAAGGTCAGGGCTGACGTCGTTCACCCGAGGTGCAAGCTAAGGCACGCGAGTGCCACGTGCACACTATTGCTCCTGGGTGAATATGTCCGGCTGCCAACAATCCCAATATTAATATACACGATCAAACCATACAAGGGTCACCATGGAGTTGATACTTCCTTGTTTAATCTGATAAGTGTAATGAAGGTAAGTCTTAGTGTTGACTTAGACATGCGCATTGCAATCTGTTACGATCACACGCTCTTCGAATTCGAAACCGCCATTCCTTGAGCAGTACTATAGCGAGACGACTGAATTGTTCGTTTATGCCATATACATGATTGAAAATGGAACACAACTTCTAGGTTGCTTTCAGGCACGCAAAGACAATAACACCCCAGAGCTGAGCAAAGGAGTTCAGAAAAGTCTTCGGAAATGGGAGTATCGGGGGAGACTTTAGTGTTGTAGGCGGCAACCGTGATACCACAGGGCGTGGCCCAACACTGACAGCTCCAGGAAGGGGTGTACCAAAAAACCTCTTCCTGTGATCTTGTATTTTCCTCTTTGGGACTTTGGGCCTACAAAATATGTCAAGTGAATGAGTAGGCGAGGTGTCAGACCTTCAGACCTCAGGGGATTGCTATGGCCCCAATCTTAACGCAAGTCCACTGAAAACAGCACAGAAATTGAAGTAATTGAATTGTACATGGTAAAGTCAGATCCCAAACTCTACGTCAATGGCCCTAATATCATTGTCGATAACATAGAAAAGAAGCACGTCACAGGAGATGAAGAGTTAGGTCGTGGGTATGCCGAAATTGCTGCATGATCTGGTATTAACCCAGAAGACATTCCAGAATCTTGATATTCCTTGCTTCAGGCTCACCTTCAGGGCTACCCGAAACAAATGTGTATCTAAATGTAATCAGGCCATCCTCCTGTTCTTTGCAGCTCGTAGATTTCCTCCCTTCGCTTTGCCTCCTCCTCACTGTACGGTGTGTCATAAGGGTCAAACTCTGTTTGTGTAGCCATCCACTCTTTGATCTTAAAGTTGAAGGCTCCGCCACGGTCGTTATGCCCTACGATGCATTCATATCGACGATTGCATAAGCACCTCGGAGGTCTGTCAGGTTCTTCATTAGCTCTTACCTCTTTCCATAAAGGACATAAAAAAAGACTTACAAGTTCCTTGAAGGCGTGTTGAGGATTCTCGCAATCTCGGCGCTTTCATTGAAGGGGGTTGCCTCGCCAGTTCGCTTAGAATCCAGTATCTCAGTCCACTTCTCCCGTGTAGTGATGCGAAGTACGCCAGATACAGTGACTTCCTTGACGTGCTTGATCCACGGAAAGGCAAAAGTCATAATCCAATCAACCACAACCGCCTGGCAGCATGGTTGATTCCAAGGGCTCGCCAGGAATCCAACATCAGGAGCACGGAATCGGATATCAAGTGCTTGTAGTGTCGGAATGGAACTCTTCAACAGAACTTCGCACTGCCTCGTGTTACCATCCAACCGCATTTGCTTCGTCCGCTCATCAATCGCAATACCGAGAAATTCAAAGTACTGCTTGTTCGTGAAGTCAAGTTGAATTCGTTTGAGCCATGTATAATTGCGAGCCGAACCAGGCTGAGCGGCCAGAACATTGGCAAACATCTGTCTGTTGATGAAGCATTTGCGGGTGAGCTCCCACATCGCGTAGGAGGCTTCGGCGTGGACTTGCTTGTTCACACGCAACAAGGCAAGATTTGGTTGCCACACCGGAGTTCTAATTTCCTTCTTCAACTGGTCGCAATATCCCCGCCACGGGTTATTATCATCTTGGAACAGAACCTTGTGGCTGTTGCCAAGTCCTGGTTGGATCCGGGAGCTCTGCCACGCAGTAGGATCGTCGATGGATTGTGTCCAGTTGCCATTGACGCTTACCACGGGATATATATCGGGTCCGCCGAGCGCATGGAGATAGATCATGAGTCGAATCTCTGCCGGGAGTTTGAGCAGTGGAAAGGCTTTGTTGTTGACTTTCCACCAGATGCGCTGGGCTTTTTCGATTTCATGAGGGTATATCCTGACTCCCAATGTGCGAAGCCAGTCCGACAGCGGAATCCATCGCCGATGATAACCAGCTCTAACATGTATCTTTTCCGGAGTCAAAGGATGGGTTCGAGGTATAATTGCCACTGCTACGGTGAGAGGAATCTCATGGACGTCGCGGAACGTATACAGTTTTGTCTAACGCGCTGTTGCATTGGGGGGCCATATAGGAGGATCGTCGTTGGACTGCATGACGCGAAGATGGCCGTTTGCAACCGCGATATTCGTCTGTCGAAGGTCGGCTAGGACTTGGAGAATCGCTGGCAGAACTGGGTCGAACGACGGACACCGGCCAGGTACGAACTTGTACTTCTCATCTTCGTTACCGGGAGGCTGAATCTTCGTCGTCAAGAGTCGGGCCTGGTCGTTTGGACTCCCTCTGGTTCTGTCTGGTTTTGCCCTTTCGGCGATGCGCTCGATGCGCCCGTGCAAGGTATGCGGGTATGTACACATGCCGCATTTCTCGTAGTGCATTGCGCCTCGCGTTTTCTGCTAGGCTGACAATCGTGTTGACGGTAGTTGCAGGTCCAGCGCGGGGATTTTGTTGAAGAACTTGGGTTGGTCCGCGTTGCGAGTGGGGGGGAAGACAGTGCTGGGGACGGTAGATGAAATATATATGTTTTTCAATGCGGTGAGGGAATATATACGTTCAGGATTCAAGAGGTTTCGTGGGAGATGCGGTGAGGCGATCTTTCACCAACGCCTTGCCGATGTCCGCTTCAAGCTGGCGGTGAAAAGAAGTTAATGCGCCACGCACTGCCCTAGCGCTACTGAACTGCGATTAGAGCAATATGACGGAAATGAAGGCGATTGTCGACAATCATATAGCGTTCCCGATTGTGAAAGACGCTAAGTGTACCTGGCCCATTAGAAACGAAGATATATTCATCAAAGGCGCAGCAGGCTCCTAGACGTATTCTTCATGTGAGATTTGTTAGTAGGCAAACGAGATGACGGACTTAAAATCTCGTGATTCTCAATTTGGCTATGTTATACGGCAGGTGATCGCTTCTACCGGTCCACGAAAACCAACCAAGCAAGCTTTTGTAGAAGATCTTTACTGATATGTATCTACTCAGATGTGTAGGAAGAGCATGTTACTATTCGACATATCATATGTACTCGAGACTGTCAAGTCCGCAAATCGTTTGAGCAACTAGAATGTTACAAGAGGCCAAAACCTCAATATTCTATGATTCCACCAGCCTCACTAGTTGCGCCGTTGCTACAATAGCTTAGACGACTACAATTAATGTAACTTGAGCATAAGCTTTTCTACCCTTCATCCGAAACCCTTACTGCATTCCTCCTTTTGTCGGATAGTTGTCATCAGCACTGCTAAACCTGCTCCTTACCGACTCCTAGCAGTTGTCGTTACTCCGCATCGGCATGCTTCAAATGCATACTATAAAGAGACAGTAGTCGTTAGACTAAATAGATATTATATGCGTTCCTAACCTCTAAACTTTTCGGCCGTGTTCCTATTCTGCTGCTGCATTAGCGTAGGGAGAGACTTCATCGTTGTCAACAGTTAGTTACAATGTAACTAAACACCTAAATTCTCTATCTACAGTAAAGGATTTCACTAGTTTCTGCCTGTACTATATACAGATTAAGCAACTGCAAACTGTAGTAGCAGCAGCTTTATTCTAGGAGTTAAAGCTATTGTACAGCAAGATTGCAGAGGAGTTGTTAGCTATAATTTTAGAACATCCCTGTCACGGGTACAAACTACAAAACAACACATACAAACTTGCCCTCCTTCGCCCCCTCTTTATACAATATAGTCCTCCTTAAGAGCACTTCTAGAATTTACCTTAGGGCACTGTTATGTAGCACTTTCTACCGCCACCTCTCTGCAACTGCAATACTGGATTCTAGCGAATTAGCAGTTACATACAGCGGGGCTAATAGGCAGCGCTTAACTGCTTAGTTAACCCTTCATCTATTGCGGGTACGGCCGGCATGGGGACTGTGAAAACGCTGGGAAGAGTAGTGCTGCGGTATCCATAAAGTTGCTAAGACCCTCAAGTATGTGACGGTGAGATCGCCCCCAAATCAGGTAGACATAAAAATTTAAAGAGTCAGTGCAGCTCTGCTGCTTCACCGTCCCAAATGATGAAGTTACCGACCGATACAATGTCGCAGGGCCCGGACGAGGGCAAGGTGCGGGAAAGTATTCTTAAATATTTAGGCTAGATTATCCATTCTTGGGAGCTGGTAAAGCTTGATGATACTAACTCGTCGACAGCTGTGGTAAAATCGAACCGTACTCTCATTCAACACCGAAATTCCTGAAACGAGTTTGTTTGCCGGTCATGGCCCATTATACGTATACACATGAGATGAAGGCAGTGTAAGAAATCCTAAGCCATAAAACGCTGCCTCAAGCACTGCGAAACTCAAATCCTCACAATACCACCCAATCTCTGCACCACCGCAAGATTTTAGGCACTAATCGAATGCATGTATCAAACACCTCATTGTCAATCCTAACCAATATATACATTGAACCCACCTCCCACCCCTCACCATACAATTCCCTCTTTTTTCCCAAACACATCCTCTACGCAATAAACTTAACACCAGTCGCAGGCATCGCAGCACCAGCCTTATCCGCCTTGGCCGCCTCAAAAGCCTTGATCAGCGCAGGATACCACACATTCATCATCTTGGTGTCGCCCGAATCGTTGGGATGGACGCTGTCGCGATTATCGGCCGTGCCGGAGTATCCGGTGTATTGGTCGACGACCCAGATGGGCGATTCGGTCTTGTTCAGGCCCTGCGCCCAGCCGGGGATGGCCCGGTTGAGTTCTTGGACTTTGGTGTTGTAGTTGCCGAAGCCGAGGGGGATGATTTGTGCGACCTGGAGCAGAGGTGTGAGTTTGACATTTTGCCCATATGGGGTGGGGGGAAACGAGCTTGAGGTATAGGCAGCGAGGGGTACTCACCACAATCTTCATCCGAGGGTTGTGCGTCCTCATCGTACCAACCAACTTCGTGAAGGCAGCTATGATATCATTAACAGCCTTGTTTTGCTGCACAATATCGTTCGTTCCCAAATGCATGGTAATGACATCGGCCGGATTTTGCTTGAGCCAGCCATCCAACTGATTCTGGTTGGCGATGTTGATGGCCAGGTAACCAGAGTGGCCTTCATTGTCGCGGTCGTATTTGTTGTCCCGACAGTTGTTCTCGGTGCGGCCGGACCCGACGAAGTTCACCGACGCCCATTCCGTGGATTGCAGCTTGTTCCAGAGCTTGGAGCGCCAGCAAACAATCTCGGTGATGGAATCGCCGAATGGCATATAGCGAAGGGTGGTGTTCTGTTGTGCCGCAGCCGCTGCAACGAACAGGGACACTGAAAGCGTTTTGAACGAAACCATCTTGGGAATGGGCTTTGAATTTTCCACCGGCTTCGTTTTGGGTGAAGGGTGGGTTATTCCACAACTCCTGTTCTCTTAACTTTATACTGTTTTTGCAAATGCGATGTTCGGATATGGTTCGGAACGGCGCGAGGTCGAGTGGAAGGAGCGCATTGAAGTCAACCACTGACAAGCCGGGGATGAATAACGGATAGATGAGTTTCATATGCTATGAGCACGTGTGGTTCATTGTTCCAATCCCGAAGCGCCACCCTTGGAATGGTAACTCTCGTTTTTAAAGTTGCTGGACCTGTCCTTGGAATGTCAACGTGCCAAACCTGGCTAAATGTATACACATGGCCTATCCAAGCATCGGCAATCTAAGACCGATATATAACCCTGTCAAAAGGCATCTATAAGGAGGGGTCTGACCGCCCGCACCAAGTTTCATTGGAGGGTGAGTGAGGCTCCTGGTTCCGCATAGAAGGGAACTCTTTCGATGCCGGAAAACGTATTTCCCTATGAATACTAGTTGCATAACCGTGTCCAGTCGGGGAAACGAAGTAGCGAATCACACTTGTGTCGGAATACGGCGTCCGTCCCGATCTGGGGGACCCTGAGAGTTGGAGACGAGGACTGCAGTTGTCGCTGAAAGTGCGGGGTAGAATTGGAGAAGGGCTTTTCCATCACTCGCCCCGTACGCAACTATCTCCCCGATTTTCTGCAGAAAATGTGCTAGATGCCGGTCTGTCACTGAAGCCAGGCGTACACATCCTTTCGTCCTTTTGCCTCGTGTATAACCTCCAGACTCTTTCGAAACGATGTCAGATTGCATCGCCATGTTGCCGGTTCAATGGTATTTCATCACGGGCTTCCGAGCCAAGTCCGAGAGCCCAGCTGTACCAGACAAGAACGCGTAGTTGCAGGTAGCCTAGGAGACCACCGATGATCATCCGGTACCAAAGCGCTCATTTAGTTGGAATTTCCGTTTGACCGATGTCTAGGGAAGTGCCATGTTCATTTGAAGGTCGAAGGTGGCCATGAGAGATCGACTAATAAATGCCGTTACAACATGGAGAAGATCACTCATTTGGGATTCTCAAAGCCCTCGTCGCGGATACGAATTCCCAAGAGAACCGTTGATGTGAGTGTTTTTGTATGTTGCTGCGGCGTTGATGAGGTCAACATATGTAGTCCTGATCAGGTCGACGCCGATGGGAAACGGGGAGGACGATCCGATCCTCGGGCCATCTCTTGCATCCCGCCGATCAGGGCGGGACAGCCTACCGTATCGCAGAACTTCCACGCCAGCAAGTTTCTTTTGAAATATTCAATCGCTTCATCGCGTTCCCAGTCCACCAAAGACCTTGCTAGCGGCAGAGCTGACCTTCAACACATCCCTATAAGTCAAACTGATCCTGGTACCACGATGATTCTGGCCCCCAGCATTCTCGAATGGCGTCCGATCACCCAAGAACTCCCAGTTGGCAACCGTCTCTGCGCTCAAGCCTTGGTCGACTTCGATGGGAGAGATCCCGTGCAGCAAATCCGCGTACGCTGCTCCGGTAGTGATTAGCAGCGACCGTGGTTCCTGGAGTATGCGCGTGGGAAGGTTGTACGACGATATATCAAGACCTTGGGATTCCAGCTTTTCTTTCTTCCACGCAAGTTCGAGACAGATTGCCGCTCCGAGGCTGACGGTTGCTACCACTGACGCATACGCACTACCATCCTCATGCATCATGATCCCTTCTCCTTTCTTGTACTCATTGATGAGGACATGATTCGGTTTCTTGTGCGGAGTATGATCGAATATTCCAAGTTCACTGAAACGGTCGACGATGGGGTCCAAGAGATAAGATGGCAACGGAGCCGCAAGGAGTGTATTCGTTTTGGTGAGCGTCGATGGATGTGCTTGTAGGCGCCGGTGAGAGAGAGTCACCCATCTCTGGGCAGGAATCTGAACGTAGTCAGAGGGTTTGGGGGGATCACGGATATGGTGTTGAGCTGTATAACAAGGGTCACATGTGGGGTGATGTGGGGCAGGGAACTTGATAAGTATAACCAAGAGACATAAAGCAAAGATCCATAACAGGAAGAAACTCAAAAGGAAACTGTGCAATATATGGAATACAGACCTTTACCAAGATGGATGCCTCCTCTTCGGCAGTAATGAAGTTGGGGATGTAGTACATATCTGGAGGTAAGGACCGTAATCTGAAAGCATCCATCAACGAAGCTGGCTGTGGGTCAGTCGTGGGCGTCATCCTTTCTCAGAGCCGAATAGAGATTTCGGAAATATTTGTGATGCGGATGTTGAAGGTTACTTGCACCGGTCCGCTTGATGACTGGAAGTCGCTGTTGTGGCTAAGAGCTTAGTCAGCATTGTTTCCGTCACCTAGATCACGTGTCGCCATTCCAACCTGGAGAATTCCACGCTTGATAAGGTGTTGGGCTACTTTAGACTATTCTTTTTTCCCTGAGACAATCCTAAAGCGCTTCCAGGTAGGAGCGGTGATTCACGTGGCCATATCCCTACACGTGCAACCTTGGAACAGGTGCGACCCCATAATCGGAATCGAGGGCTGAACGAGATCACAGTTAGACTTCTACTCAAAGCGAGAATCTTGCACCTTGAAGTTGAGGAAGCTTTGAATACAAATAGACAAGTGGAAACAAGATGATGATTGCTCTCTCCAAGACATCAATCAGCGTTCCAATCACTCTGCTCAACGCCAACAGTATTCCACAGACAGGTACCGGCCCTTCTCCACAATCAAAAGAGACACTTGAGGGAATGATGTTGTATGCAACGCCACGTGGCAATGAAACTTTATATACCCATGACCCTCTATACCCTAGAAACCAGAAGATTGATTGCAACACAATGCCGAGCCCAACAAAGAAAACGAAAAAGGAAAGAAGAAAAGAAGAAAAGGTAGACGAATCCAGTCATCTACTAAATTCGATGTTGAAGCCCATGGATCGCAGTTCACATCACCATGCAACCGCTTGGGACGGTTCGAGCTCTTCGGCGCCGTCCTACACCACCTGCTCCCGCAGCTCCACCGTCTTCCTCATTCTGGTACATCTCTTGCGCTTCGCGAGCTCTCCTGCGCCGCCGTCTTGTACCCGATCCGTTTACTCCCGCTTCCTCGTTCAGGATCATAAACTTTGCCCACCCCTTCTGCAGACGGTTGGCTGCTTCAATATCCCCACGCAGGACTCTTTTCGTGTGTTCCTCAACGGTCGGTTGCCAGTTATAGAAGCACTTGAGTCCGATGATCTGGTGGGGATACGTCGGTGCTGTGCCATCTGCGCTTGCCGCAAGTCGGGCAATCTCCTCATTACGATAGAGGACCTCGCGAATGCCGGACCAAGTGACGTTGGGGCAGTCGTAGACCACCATCTTCAATCCAATATGCAGACTTCCAGATTCAGAACGGGCTTTAGCGGCACGGTTGCGCTTCCTCATCACGGACGCGGCTTCAGCCAGTACCAGGTCCGAGGTCCGAGAGTTGTCCAACTCGAGCGAAGCGATACTCGTGCACCCTTTCAGGATAGCGAGTATACCAAGGTCGCCCAGATTTTCGCAGTATGAAATGCAAAGATGCTGGAGATATGGAGCGCAAGGCGACGTTGAGAGTGTCTTGAGGGCTTCGTTTGTTAGATGCTCGAGCTCTTCAAGCTCCAAATGGGTTAGAACTGGGCAACTGGGCAGGAGCTCAGTCAAAACTTCGTCAGTGAGACTGTGGCATTTGGAAAGCTGGAGTCCTTCAAGATTCGGTACGTTCCCGACCAGGCTGCGCACGCCTGCGTCAGAAATCCCACGGCATCGCGTCAAATCGAGGTGCTTTAACCGACGTGGAGGCACAATGGGACGTCCAGTAAGGACGTCAACCTCGCTGTTGACACCCTCTACTAGAGCTGTCAGTGATTCGTCGCTCAGACTGTCGCAGTTCATGAGTACAAGTCGCTCCAGCGTATTCCTCTTGAAAAGCTCATTCATCAAGTCGACGTCATCGAATCCCCTCACTTCGCCAGCCCGAAGATCTTTCAAGTTGGGACATCCTTCTACCACTTTCTTGAGTCCGCGAGTATCGATGTTGTGACACCAAGAGACATTCAAATGCTCCACACGGGGGCAATGTTCTCCAATGATGGTCATGCCTGTGTTCGTCGCTCCAGCCAAGCCCGAAAGATTGATGCTCACAAGCCGCGAATTCTGCAGAAGGAAGGAGTGTATAGCTGTACGGTCAATTCGGCATCCCTCCAAAGACAAGTTCTCCAAGTTCTTGCATGCGTCGTTGAATCCATCCCGGTACCAATTTTTGTACAATTGGACACAGCCTCGAAGATTCAAATGCCGCACAAATGGTCCAGCGGAGGTAATGATGTTAACGAGAGACTCTGCGGGAATATCCCGATAAAATTCACTCGTGTCGAGTGAGCGCCATAGCTGACCGTCAAAGCACATGGCATGCCATGACTTTGATACCGCAGAGAGGCGGACGATCTCTTTCGGTGGGAGATGCCGAAGGATGTACATTCGAATTTCCATGGGCAAGTCCCGCCAGAAGTTGAAGTTTGGTCTGCGCTCAGGTTTCTTCTTCAGCGGCTGGGAGAAGTAGTCACCCTCTGCTTCAGCGCCATTTCGAGACCAGGGTCGCAGGTCCGAGGGAAGCGGTATCGATGATGGTCCGTTCGGAGTAACTGTCCTTAGGCGAGGTTTATCATCAAAGACGGGACTAGGGCCCGGTGTATTTGCTACAGACGTGGGTGCCGTAGAGTATCCAGCCGACAGCTCAGAAGGGTACGAGTAGGAATAAGAGGAGCCTCCCGAAGTTAGCGAGACACAGGATATTGATGCCTTGCCGCCGCTTCTCAGACTCTGCGACCGTGGCCTTGTAATTCCTATCAGACTCTGAGAGGAACCCATCCGTTGTATACTGTTGAGGATGCGATGACGGGTCTTGAGGGGCGGGCGTTCGGAAGTGACGGGCTCGCCGGGGGCGTCGATACGGTCGTCAGAGGCCATTTCGAGCGGCGTTTCCTCTACAACGGAGTCGATGGATGAGGACTCCATGGCTGGAGGGGTTTATGAAGTGTCGAGGAAGGGCGAGGCCAGCAGCTGAGAGCGTTCTAATTGTGGCTCATTGGCCCATCGGCGAGAGTCGTCGCGCGGGGGAGGCAGGCTAAGGGTTGGGAGGGGTAAGCCCGAACAGTGGCTTTCCTCCTCTTCTCCGTACTATAAAAAGGAATACAAAGGAGGGTTCGCTTGTAAGAGCTGCACAAAGCAGAGCGCAGCGCAATGAAGGCTAAGCGGTTGGTTTCATGATCCCATGGTCCGAGGTTGCATGAATGAATCCATGGATGGATAACGACCCTGCAGTGGGCCCTTTATCTTTATCGAACGAATCCGGGCGTTATCGATAAGCTGCGCAGGTGGAGGGAACTGCACCCTCCACGTGCCTGTCTCCACAGTCTGGCACACGACACGATGCCACCAACATGACCATGTCGTTTGACCCGTACATGGGCTCTTTGAGCGCAGGTAGGCTTCATGGTGTGTTCATAGAGGGCAAGTGTTGCTGTCCTCCTGTCTTTAGTGGTGTAGGTGTCGCCGTTACTATTAGCCACAGTTATTCAATAGTGTTACCACCCTCAGGCTAGGTTATTAACGTTGGAAATAACAGTAACACTAGCTCTTCATAATGTAGAGAGCCATCTTCAACCGCTAACTGCCCAGTTAGCACAAAGTACCGCGCTAAGCATAGAGTAGCTACGCTACAGCGATTTCCCTACACCGTCGCAGGCAAGCTCTCCTGCCCCTGTGTAGTTTGTGTTATTTAAGATTAGCTTTACATGAAAACTGCATTGCTTGTAACAGTCCTTATCAACAAGATCCTTCCTATATAAACACGTTAGGAATCTAATACGCATCGCCTGTCGTACACACCTAAACGGCCGTTCGCTTTGAACTAGCAAACCCGAACACTATCGCAATGCTCTGTGAATCTCTATAGCCTTGCTACGTCTTTGTAGATACCAACGTAGAAAGTATTACGAACACATTTAGCGAATACAGGATGCCTTGGGTGTTGATTAAGCTACCTAAGCTAGTCGTGGTTTGTCTTTGGCATCGCCCCGCCATCACACCTTCTAAACATTGAAGTACCACACCCAACCATAACAATCCACCTGCTCAATCTCAATTAAAAAGTACCTAGGTATACAGCTATGCTCGCTCAATGCGCCAGGTGAAGAAGAAGTGACCCAATCGATGACCTTGCAACCCTGAGCTCAATCCATATACGCCCTACCCTTTCCTATCTCGTTCCGCTAGGAGATTTGATTTCTATCGCCAATCCTAAAAGAACGGTACGTAAGGTTGATGGGAGATCCAGCGCCTTCTGATGATGCTGGCCTGGCACTCTATACAGTGAAATGTGAAGCTATCGATGCTGTGATGGGCTTCGCCCCTCTCCAGGTATTCGAAAAGCTCACAGGACCTGATATTAGGCATATCGGCCAGTCCGGTATTCCTGGCCTGTACTGATAAAGCGCACCCAACCCTGCGCCTTAAGGAGAGCTCAGAACTCATGCCACCCCAACCCCCTGGGCCCCTCTCAACTCCTTCTCCATATCATCCTTCCTCGCCCTCCTCCTCCCCCTTTCCCTGACTGCCTTTTCACTCTTTTCACACTCCCGAATCGCTTCCACCACTTCAAGTTCCTCGAACCGCGCATCCTGGAGATTCAACTTCTGCCACTGCGGATGCTTGGCACAGCGTTTCCTCAGGCAGACGACATCTTTCCTCTCCTCGATCCCGCCGTCCACCCCCGTTCCATTCACTTTCACATCCCCATTCGCGTCCTCCTCCTCCACAGAGGCAAGTTGCTCATCACTCGGCGCCAACGTATTAAACTTGAACGCCGCCCTCCCTACTCGACTACTCCTCCACCTCGCAAACTCGGGGTCTGACCAACTCAGCCGAGCGTCGTACCCACAGAACTCCTTAACCTTGATCTTTTCTCTCTCTGCTAACCGCGAAGCTTGCTCACGCGCCATGCTGACGAATTTCTCGCGATCTTTCATGACGTCCAGTTTGAGTTTGAGTTGGTCCTTTTCTCGGCGCAGGGCGTTGAGGTGCTCACGTTCGGAGGGCGTGAAGAGAATGTCTTCGTTTTCCGCGTCGCCGTCGAAGCCTGCTTGGGGAGGGGACGCGGTATGAGGAGGGGAGAGGACGCCGGAACCTAACCGCTTGAAGGCTTCAACGTCTTTGCTTGCAACGACGAGCGCTTTGAGATCTTTCGCCCGGATGACGCCACCCAGGGGAATAGGTTCCTCGTCCTCGCCATCAGATGCACGACTTTGCGTCTCTCCATCCTTCGCCCCTTTCTTCTTCGCCTTCTTTGTACCTGAAACCTTCTTCCCCGCCCCTGCCGTCCTCTCCAACTGCTCCTGGAAAAACTTTACCCCGCATTCATCAGAGCAGTACTTGCTTTCTTGTCCTTTCGTCAGTCGCGCAGGCTTCCTGCACCCTTCTCTCCGGCACATGGGCTTCCACGTCGTTTCTCCCCTCCCAGCAGCCTCGCAATTCGGACAGATGAATTTGTCCACCAGGTCCTCGTCCGACTGTACCATATCCACGCACGAACCGTGGAACCAGTCGTCGCAACCGCCATCACAGCCGATCATCCACCTATGATTATCGGGTTTGCGGCAAATGCAGTATAGAGCGGTGTCATCAGACGAGCCCTGCTCCTCCTCATCATCTGAAGCATGAGCTGGAGAGGAACGTGCGTATTCGGGCGCAGGCGAGGATCCCGCCGGAGTACTGCCCTTCCTCCCGCTTTTTGGTTTTGCTCGAGATGTAGGTGTCCCGGACCGTGCTTTCGATTCCGACTCGGTGGCATCTAGCTTGCGCCTCTTCGGAGCGGGTTTCTTTAACGCGGCGGTTCCTTTCTTCTTGATAGCGGAGGCACCCGGTGCAGGGCGTTTTTTCGAGGGCGCAGGAGCGGGTTTCGCTTCCACTGTGCTCTCAGTCGCGGTGACCGACTTCTTTGTACGAAGACCTAGATCGTTCTGCTTCAATGCTTCTATAGTCTTCAGTGTCTCTTGGTCCACACCATTCGTCGTGATAGATGGTCGTTTCTCTGTTGATAGGCAAGAGAGTGAGTTTCGCCGTTCTGGCGCAATACCACTCGGTGTACCAGACGGCTCGTCTTTGATAACAGGCAATGGCGATGGTTCAGTCTGTTCTTGCTTCAGAGCAGCATCGGTTGAGAGATGAAGTGGCGTCTGCCCTGCCGACTCCGCCTTGCGGATCTGCTTCGTCGTGGGCTCGTCGCGCACAAAGGCTGGTTCGCGATTCTGTGTTCTGTCCAAACCGGGTTCACCGTCTTGCACCGACTGTGACACATCTGTCCCATACTTTGTTTGTGAATGTCCCTCGAATGACACGGTCGTTCCATAGATGCCTGATGCATGTTGCGGCTCGTCGAGCGTAGCGCCACTATGATTATGGATGGGCGCAAGAACCACCTCAGGAGACGGCACGTTTATCAGCGACGACCTACGTCTGTGCTCCTCCGGCGACCTCGGGTCATGATGATACTGGTGTAGTGTGGGAGAGTGCGACTGGGCCTGTTCGATGGGCGGGGAGGGCTCGACAGGTGCGATGTATGACCCAAAACTGCTTGTGCGTCGCGCTCGAGGAAGTGGATGTGAAAAGGCGGTAGGAGAGGGTAGCCCGCGGCTGAAAACAGGGACATATTGGAGGTCTGGCGCACCCGAAGTTGCGAGCGCAGTGAGAGCGGCGGCAGCTTCGTACGTGGTGGCGGGGTAGGACGAAATCTGCTGTTCGGTAGGGGGAGATTCGTGGGAAGCTGATGAAAAGGACGAGCGTCGTTGGTCGGCGGGTGCAGGCCCGTGGTTAAGTAGAGAGTTGATGCTGGCCATGCTTGTATCGAGTTTCGGCATCCGCGCCGTGGGGTTCAAGGATGGAGAGGGGAAGACAACGCTGGGAGGAGTTATGAATGATTGGATTGCAGAACCCGCATGGCGAGGGAGATGTGGGAGCGTGGGTGGAAGCGCGGTTGTGGAGGCGGCTTGAAGAGAAAGGCGGCTCGCGAGTGAAGCAACGATTGCTTGGCGGCCGGCGCAAGTGGGGACTCGAAGTTGACGGTGAGAGCGATGCACAGCTGTTGCCCGTGTAATTGAGGGAACAACTGTGACAACTTGCTAGCAAGCTGTGCGCATTTGATGCATAATCGCCATCACAGAGAGAGCTACATTTGCCGTCGCGCTGACGAATTGCGGGCAGATTTATTTGCACTCGCCGGAAAATTGTCCACCCTGATCCACGCTCCAACAGCTTCCCGAGGAGACTATGGCAAGCTTCCAATCGTCTGCTGGTTTTTCAAGAGCTTTATCCCTTCGCTACCTGCTCCATTAATCGTCCTCGTCCTCGTCCTCGTCGCGTCTCCTTCCCGGTCGCCCTACACCTCTGCGCACACCATTCTGCGCTTGTGGGGTTGCATCTCCATCGACTGTGCTCTCCCGTTGCTGCGACCTGCCTCCTTCAGCGAATCCCAAGCTTCGACTGATCCGCTGTTCCAGGTCTTCTATTGAAGACCCGCTGTATACCGTCCGAACCATGTTCGCCACGGCGTCCTCGCCCACCTCAACTTTACCCCGGGGTCCTACATAGTAGTCCACCACCTCATCACCAGAGGTATCCTTGACTCGAACGATATATCCCTCCTTGACCATCCTTTTCAGGATTTCTTCCGTGCTGTCCACCGGTGTGTTGTGATGTGCGTTCATGCGTTTTAAGAACCTGTCGAGCTTCCCTTCCGACAATGTGCCGCCTGAGAGTGATATGAGGGCTATGACCATGGTATAGAGACCGACGTAGGCGCTCTCGAGCTCGGAGTTGGGTATCCGTGGCGGTGGTATTATCTCTGGCGCGCGGAAGGCTTCTGGGAGGACGTTGCGTAGCACCCATTGGTTGCTTGTTTTGGATTGTGATTCCGACGCGGCGGCCGCTGAACTGCATATTAGGGACTAGCAGGGGAAACCTGATTTCCGTCCTTACCGCGCTTCTGCCTGATCGTCGTCTTCTCCTTATTCGGGAGTTCGACCATCTCCATCCCAAAGGTATCAAGGAGTTGGCTATTGGCGGCGTCGAAGACCTGCCTGAACTGTCGCGAATGAGCTCCAAGGACTACGATTATTAGTGCCTTCGGTCACGGACGTAGACTTCGTTCTTGAGCACCTTTTTGAGCTACATCCTGCCTCTTAATCGGTATTCGCGCGTACTCGCAAGCAAGCGCATACCGCACCAAGCTCTTTGCTAGCTGAGCGGTACTGCCAGAAGCGTGGCCACCATATTCCTCTTCACCATCTTCAGCATCTGCTGATCTATCGGGATACTGCTCACGGGCGCCACTGCGTTGTTGCGAAGGTGTGGGGATATCGTCGTCGACCGGCTACAATAGTCAGTCAGAATAGTCAGTCATTGGGACAGCACAGGCGTCCAGTCCAGACTCACTGCACGCCGTTTCCTGGAAGCCAATGACATTGCCGAGGGCGGTTTTGATTGCTGGGTATACAGAATTCTGGGTGAGAGTAAACAATGTAAGACAAGGGTCCAGTGTGTTCTCAGACATTCGCACTGGAAGGTGGGGAAGTCGCGTCGCGTAGTCAGGGCGCTCGGCCCGCAGTTGCAGTAAATAACTACCGGCTTGGCGTTCGTGGGCCAAGAACGTGTCTTATTGACCTCCTGTCATCTTCACCTTCACCGCGCCGGATATCAAAGTGGTATCAAATCCCAACAATCCTCAACTACTTGCCCATGAACCAATCATGATCTCCGCACGCTTGGGAGGCGCCCGTCGGCCCCTCCTCCGCACCCTCAACCTCAATGCGCCATCACCTCGTCGGAACTTCCGCCTACCTTCAGACCCGCCTCCAAAGACCCGCGTAGAACCCGAATCCCGCCTGGCCAAGTCCTTCCGCGAAGGTACCTTGGGCGTCGATGTCGACGCCATCAACCTGCACCGGGCACAAGCCGTGCGGCGGCACAAAGTCCTGCAGCGGAGAAAGAAGCTCATCTTCCTAGCATTCTGCTCATTCATAGCGCCGTTTATCCTATCGCGGGTGTTTTGGCCGCATGTGTATGAAGAAAGAGATCGGAAGAGGAAGCAAGATTTGGAGGAGGCGGAGAAGAAGATTGCGGCGGGGGAAGTGCCGAAGAGTAGAGGCGTGATTGACCTGATATGGCCGAAGCCCGTCAACAATGACAGTAGCCGCGTTGCCGCGGAAGAGTTTCAGGGAAAGAAAGTGGTGGTTGCCCCCGGGGATAAGATCATTGCGGCTCCTAAGGACGCGGAGCATCCGACGGCGACCGATGCGGAGGCGGTGGAGCTAGTCGAGACGGGCACGTCGTATGTGCCATATTTCCCGAGGACAATCGAAATCCCTACGTCTTCCGGACCCGGGGGAGTTGAATCGAAGGCAGAGTATACATTGCTGGGGCTAGGTGTGCGGAAGGTGTCATTTCTGCGTGTCCAGGTTTATGTTGTTGGGCTTTACGTTAAGACGTCCTCGCTCAGCACTCTGCAAAACCATCTCATCAACACGGTAAACCCCAATGCCTCTGCACTGATCCCGGGCGAGAAGGACGACTTGCGTCAAGCATTGCTCGATGCCAACAGGAGTAACGAGATTTGGGAATCGATCTTGACCCAACGCGGAGCAAATGGCGTGGAAATGGCTCTCCGCATTGTCCCAACGAGGGGCACAGATTTCAACCACCTCCGCGACGGTCTGATGCGCGGTATCATGTCGCGGACCGACGAGGTTTCGCGGAGACAGGCGGAGCTGCGACGGCAGCAGGCCGCCGAATCCAAGACGATTGCCCCGCCGACACCGGTCCAGGAGAGTGAGTTCTCCGACGAGAACTTCGGGCTCGCGATGAAGGATTTCAAGGCTCTGTTCGGTGGGAGAGGAAGTGCGCCGAAGGGCTCTGTGCTTCTCCTCACCCGGGACAGGTACGGTGCGTTGGAGATGCTGTACCAGCCACTGAAGAAGACGAATAAGGGCGAGAAGCTTGGGGAGCTGTCGCGGCTGGGTTCGGTTTACGACGCTCGGCTGAGCCGGCTACTGTGGCTGCTGTATCTGGGCGGGCAGAATGTGAGCTCTGAGGAAGCGAGGAAGAGTATCGTTGATGGGTGTATTGGGCTGGTGGAGAGGCCTGTGGGCACCGTGGAGGCCATGGTGCAGTAGTTTGGGTGTTCTGATGTGACGAGAGGGTGTACAGTGGATCTTGTATTTTAGATGAGGAGTATGGAACTGGTCAGCGGATTGGACTCTCCAAGAGACTTGGGTACCGCTCGGCGGTTTATTTTGATCTTTTCATCAATGCTTGACACAACGGAATCTCATTTTGTGTATATATGCCCAAGGATGACAATGGGCTCGGCGTGATCTTTCCTACCTAGGTATGCAATCCCCAAATTCCCACTTCTCACTACGCCGCGACCTTAGTTATGTGTACATTATCAAAACGATCCCGATGTACTGAGAAGAGGCAGAGACCTCGTGAGCTATCTCAAGGAATCGCGGATCCTCTCAGAAAATTCCCGTGGCACGCACTGTAAACCATGCTCAATGGATTTCATACGTGCTTATTACTATACTCGACGCGCCTCAACTTCCCAATTTCTTTATCCCACCTCAAGGCTGTTCTTACTGTAGCTTAAGACCCCATTGAACGGGTGAATGAATTCTAAACCTACCCTGCTTTAGGTGACAAGCCAGCACATCAACAAGAATGCATTCCACAGTATTTATCTCCCGCCTCATCACCAATATCGTCTATTCTTCTTCTGATAACCGTACGCTATACATCGACGGAAAGAAAAAACGCCAGTTTATGCCGGAGAAAAGCAGAAACAGGGATGCAGGTGATGCACGTAGAAGCCACCATACGCCCAATGACCCTCGAGATGAGAAACGCTGACGATACTGCTGCTGCCAAAGCTGCCGCTGCTGCTGTGCCGCCGACACTGCGCCTGCATCTCTTCCCTCCAGCAGACAATCTCTGCAGGGACGCGGGGCGGAATCTATACCGTGGAGAGCTCGCGCTGGACCTCCTCGTACTTCCGGAAACGCGAAATCTGGGTTGGAGAAAGGGGAATAAATGAGACGGTAGAAATGGCGACTCAGCTCTCCTCCTTTTCCTCCATCGACGCTCGTCACTCGGACCAACCCGGCCTGCAAAACCCCCGAGGCAGCAGTGGAGAGCAGCAGCTCACACCCGAGTAAAGCGGGCCGAAACGCTCCTCAAATCCAAAAGGAGACGACTTCCGCCTCTTTTCTAGAACGGGAAACCGCCCTGGTATTGACGACCCCCAGCACCACCAGGCATACCGCCCATGCCGCCCATGCCACCGAACGGGTGGCCTCCGCCGGTGGAGAAGGAGAAGCCGCCTCCACCAGGACGACCACCGCCCATGCCTCCGCCGCCCATGCCGCCGAACATATTGAACACTGTAGACCATCATGTCAGCGATGGGCTGAAGTGAACTGGGATGTTTGGTACAACTTACGCATTTCAGGGTCGATCTGGACGCCGCCGCCCATACCTCCCATGCCGCCAAAGCCACCGCCGCTGAACATTTCGCTGGGGTCAATGAGATCTTCGCCGGAATCGTAGCGCGCGCGTTTCCTACATCTGTTAGAAAGATGTCAATCTTGAAAAGGACGAGATAGAACGTACTGAGGATCGCTCAATGTCTCATTCGCCTCCTGAATCTCCTTGAACCTCTCCGCCGCCTGGTCATCATCCGGATTCTTGTCCGGATGATGCACAATCGCCAATTTCCTGTACGCCTTCTTGATGTCTTGCTCCGTTGCATCCTTGCTGATGCCGAGAATCTTGTAGTAATCCTTGCGCTTGCTCTTCTTGAGTTCGAGCTCTGCATTGCGGATCTCCTTGGCGATGCCGGGCTCCGAGGGATTAGCTTCCTGGATGGCTTTGTACTCCCGCACAGCTTCCTCCCAGTTTCCTGACTCGCCGAGAGCTTTGGCGCGCGTCTTGCGGGCCTTTGTGTATCCTGGGTCGAGCTCGAGCGCCTTGTCGCAGTCAGCGATGGCCTGGGTCCAATTTTGTAGGCGGGTGTGGCAGAGGGCGCGGTTCTGGAGGATCTTGGAGTTTGTGTTCTTGTTGGAGGGGTCGATTTCGAGTGCGGTGGTGTAGGTGTCGATGGCTTCTTGGTAGCGGCCGGCTTTAAATGCCGCGTTTCCGGCCTCCTTCGTGCGATCGAGTTTCTGTACCATGCGGAGGTACTTGACTGCGTCTTTGAAGTCCGGGTCGCAGTTCAGAGCTTGCCTAAAGTGCTGAATGGCTTTCTCGTTCTCGCCCTGCCCGTACAGGGCACGGCCGCGTAGTACCAGGGCCTCCGGATCCTGGCTGTTGCTCCGTAGTAGGGACATGGCGACATTCTGGGCCTCTCCGAGCGCATTCATGTTGCCCATCTTGAGATGTGCCTCTCCTCGGAGGAGCATCCATTTCCTTGGCCGCTCGACACCAACACCTAGCCCCTTCTCAGCCTCATTGAGAGCATGTATCACCATCGAGCCGGCTCCGCCATTGGCGCATATCTCCTGTGCTTGCTGCAAATGCTTCTTCATGTTCAGCGCCGGTTGCTTATCCTTTGCCGTGCATGGAGGGTCAATCGAATCGAATACTGCGAGCGCCTCATCCGGCCTCCCCAAGCTAGTGTATAGCCTCCCTAACCGCAGTAGGATCTTCATGTTACCGGGCTCGAGCTCATCGGCCGTCTTGCAGTCTTCCAATGCCTCGACAAATCGGTTCGCGGACATGAGGGCAGCGGCGCGGTTGGAGTAGTATGTGGCATTTTTAGGGTCGGCTTCGATAGCTGCAGAAAGTTGGTTAGCTCGGAAAAATCATTGGGGTGAAGCGTGCGGAATGTTGCAAGCACGGTCTTGTGCCAGGCAGCACCCGTCTCGCCAAAGGAGATGGATGCGGCTTCGAGAAGGAATGGCAATGCCCACCTTTTGTGTACTCCTTGATCGCCTGTGCATAGTCCTTGATCTTGAAAAACTTGTTCCCCGCTGCCTTGTACGATTCGGCGTCTATGGTCGGGGCCTGTGCAGGCGGCGAGGCGGCCTCGGGAGTGGCGGCATAATTGGCTGACTGCGGCGGGGGACTCGTGGTGTAGCGATGGGGCGGAGGAGCAGGGCGGGCGTCCTGGTAATCGCCATTTGTAGCGGCGGTGCCGTTGGGCGTAGTCTTAGTGTTGCTGGGCGAGGTAGTGGTTTCCCTGTCGATGTCCATGGGCTCGGGGGTGGCCTGGTCGTGATTGTTCATCTGCGACATGGCGGAAGAGGAGAGCCTCCGCAGCTCGTCGGGAGGGAGGTTGAGCGGGTGGGAGTCGCGGTCGTACTTGGAGGAGCGGCGAGAAGAGTAGGAAGATGAGCGGCGGTCGCGATCCTTGAGGCGGTTGTGAGATTTCTTGTCCGGGGATGAGGGAGGGGTTCCTGGGTTATTGTGCTGCGACGGCGAGCCGGGGTGCAACGAGGGAGTCTCTGGCGGGTTCTTGGACGGCGACGACGAGGAGGAGGATGACGACTTCTTGGAGGATTTACCAAAGAGCGAAGGTAACACCATGGAGAAGGAAGAGTCAAGAGGGTCGGCCAAAAAGGCGTAGAGTGGTGTAACTCTGCAAAAAGCTAGTGTCTTTTCGCCGGTGCTGCTTGGAGCGAAGACGGACCGAAAAAAATACAATAATGGAGGGAAAGCTGGGATTTGGGAGCAGGATAGCTGGGCAGGGTGCTAGAAGCTTCCAGGGTACCGTACCAGCCTTCTGCGATTCTGCGAGTGTCCGGGCGGAGGATATTCTCGCGTGCTGCCGACCCTCCCGCTGTGGCTGACGTTTGGGGGGAGATTGGGGGGGATTGTGAATCGGGAAGCCTGGAGGTTTTCGACGCTCTTTGTATGGCTGCTGGTTCTGCTGGTTCTATGCGGTGGTGAAGGTCCCTTCTATATTAGTAAATAACTTTGCTTCTTCCGCGACTTCCAAACTTCCTGATACTGTGTACCAAAAAGGATTCATCGAAACCTATATTAAACAGTGCGCATCTGATTCTTTCCGTGGAGCATCTCCTCGACCGTCATATTTCCTTTTTCCCCAACCTCCAGCCGTCTCTTACCTTTGCGTGCCGCCGTGGATCAGAAAGTACGCTGTCCAATCCCATTCGAGCGAGGCTGGAGCGTTGAGAGGAGCAACAGCAGAACAACACACACTGCAGATCATCTATCTACTATGCGCTCCCTCTCATCTTGATTTGCTGTCATTCAACATGGTCGTTTCTCGCCGGTTGAATTTGTGCGGTTCTCTCGTCTCTTCCTCAGGCCCCAGCCTCCTCTCTGCGAGCCCTGGCGTGCAGCACTTGGGCGTGCAGAAGGCGCATGACGAGCAGCAAAGTCCATGTCCCGTCGTCACTGTCACTTGGACGGAGTGCACGAAAAAATCCCAATCATTTTCAATTCCAATTCGCTTCTTCTTTGCCATGCATGCTACCTCTTGGAGGTTTTCATCAGGGCCATGCACATGCTCACTGGCATCCTTAGCAAACTCTGACCCTCCACCACCCGACTGAGCAGACAACGCATCTAAAATCAATACTCCGCATCCATCATGACTGCTGGAGAACCCTGTGTCTCGATAACTTCCAGGACCCCCTCACCGACATAGCCATTACACCCGCAAGCCCCTGCGTGGTGGTCAGCAACACGGAGACAGTAGTTAACCTCGTCATCCTTCCGTCAAGATTCTACCACTCAGATCGTCGCCGACGGCTTGCCTGCTTCCAGATGTCAGATCTACGTATTGGACTCAATTTAAAATCTGCTCAACGGCTGAGGAATCGAATGCACAACGATAACATGTTTTCGCAGGGACAGCGACTGACAAGGACTGAATATCAAAGGCACCATGTCCGCATATTTTATCCCACCATTCACCCTCTTCTCGCCTGCGATCAACCCTAATGACAATGTCTCCTCCATCCATCTACCACGTTCTGTCTGGAGCATGGATTCTCCTCAACAACACAGTGTAGGCGGCTCCTCTCCGCCTGCCATGCAATATCGTCCTTGAAGCTAACCTGCGCCCTTCCAGCCGATATGACAACGGCACCGAGGGGCCTTCTACAGGGCCTACGGGCCCTCATGACATCGGCTTCCTCCACTACACCAGCACCGGCTACATGGCCGCCAACTTCATGTCGAGCGTCCCGGAACACCGCCCCCTCAACATCAGCTGGCCCCGCAAAGAGACAGACCGGGACATCGACTGGGCCCAGATCGGCCTCCACACATTCACCTACGCTGGACCCTACTCCGTCAATCCGTGGAATGAGACCCACGGGAATCTAACCCATGGCCCGCTGGTGTATGCGGGTATGCCGTACATGGTGGGGACGAAGCAGTCGAGGAATTACACGCTGCTGGAGCGAGGCGACATGTTGCGGGTGACTGCGCGGCAGGACAGTAACAATTCGACGGGCAGACTCATCTTTCGACGAGGGAAAAGGACTAATTGAGAGTGCCTGGAAGGCGAAGGAGAATGCAGCGGAAGTGTAATGACTGCACCTGCTCATGCTATCTTCGTTATCGTAATATTCACCCCATCGTGGGTGGTTTTTCTTGAGGGGGTCATCTACAGGCTTTTTCCTCACCTCAGGGTGCCATCTGTGTGTGCCAATTGTTGGAGATAGTCAATCTATTTTAAGGGAGATAGATATCGGAGGTTTATGTTTGAAAGTTTGTTGAAGCTCCACGTGAGAGGCGGCCAATAAGGTAGGTTAACTAACGTGTTTCACCACTCACCGGCGAACACCAGTCACCGGCGTGCCCCACCAAAATCAAGACGCGCCTTCAATTCAAACAACCATGGCATCAACACACAACGTTCAGAACCTTCAAAAAGAAGGTAGATTAGATCTTTCAAAAAAGTCTATTCAAGATAATCTTGTTTCAAGTGTTTATAAAGCAGCAAAACTGTACGACGTCCCTGAAACCACTCTTCAGCGTCGCATCCAGGGCTCAGTGCCAATCACGATCAAACGCCAAAAAACGAAAGTTACAGCCTTCAGAGGAGCAGATACTCATTCAATGGATCCTAGACCTCGACCGATGTGGATTTCCACCTCAGATTATCGACATACGACGAATGGCAGACCATTTACTCATGGTGTGTGGCCAGAATCCTCCTCTCCCACCCATCGGCAAGAACTGGGTATGCCGCTTTGTCAACAACTAGCCAGACCTACAGACAAAATGGAATAGGAAATTCCATTCTCAATACGTGAAATGTGAAGATTGAGACACGTTTCGTGAATGATACGTGCTTGTAGATGAGACGCGTCAGATATATGACATACTTGATGAAGATACCTGGAATTTTGATGAGACTGGATTCATGATGGGTATGTCTGTGATATCGAAAGTCATTACAAGCTCTGATACTGTAGGCTGAGCCATTCTCATACAACCAGGCAATCGCGAATGGGCGACGGCGATTGAGTGCATCAATGTGATCGGATAGGTGATCCCGCCCTTCATCATCCTTGCAGGAAAGCTCCACCAGTCAGGCTGGTATCGAGGCCGACCTGGTGACTGGATGCTCGCTGTAAGTGACAATGGCTGGATAACAGATGAACTGGGATTCGAATGGATTAAGCACTTTGACAATTGTACAAAGTCCTGTATGAAGGGAGTCTACCAGCTACTCATACTTGATGGCCATGGTAGCCACGCAATGCCTGAATTCGACCAATACTGTACAGAAAACAAGATTAAAATGATCTGTATACCATCACATACGTCACATCATCTCCAGCCGTTTGACGTGAGCTGCTACTCTCCTCTAAAGGTCTTGTATGGTCATGAGGTTCAAGAGCTCGCCCATTATGGAGTCTACCATATTGATAAGGAAGACTTCCTGGAAATATATACTAAGGTGCGACCATCTGTCTTTACAGATCAGAATATCAGAAGTGGATTTCTTGCTATGGGTCTAGTGCTGTACGACCCTGAGCATATCATATCGTCGCTTCTGATCATGAAGACTCCGACTCCACCAGGTACTGTAGATGGACCGGCACCTCAATGGACTTCAGAAATGCCACATACTACTGCCCAGCTAGAGTAGCAGGCAAGGCTCATATGGGACATCCTTCAGCGCCAGTCACAGAGCCCTACTAGCCAAGCAATCAATCAACTTGTTAAAGGATGCCAGATAGCGATGCATTCTGCTGCCATACTTGCAAAGGAAAATTCGGAGCTTCGTATGGCAAATCAACATCGAAAGCAGAAGCAGCAACACCGCCGAAGGTATATCGCCCATGGAGGCGCTCTACAGACTGGGCAGGCCCAGCTCACGGTTGCGGAGTTGGAAAATGTGGAGCAGGAGGCCGACCAGAACTGGGCTGGTCAGACGCGACAGCGAGCACCACCAACATGCTCCAATTGCCATATCCAAGGCCATACAAGGCGTCAATGTACTAGTATCTCAAGAAGCTCCTAAGCATAATTTTATTTGAATATACTTTGTTGTGGTGGAGTAGTCATACGAAGACGCATCTTGATTTTGGTGGGGCACGCCGGTGACTGGTGTTCGCCGGTGAGTGGTGAAACACATTATGGGAAGAAGCTTAGTCAGCAGAGCACTTGATGCCGACACCTTCCCGCCGGTTGCCGACATGTACCCCGCCCCGTCATCAAGGCACCAGCTCTCTCACCAGGCAGACTAACACATACTGCTTCACCACAGTGGAAACATTATCAGAGCCAATCCCAAGACAATTCATACTGTGCTTACTCTCTTGCGCTCATTTTCCGCTGCAGCTCCCCCTTTCCAACCAGTATCATCACCTCGGAGAAAGGCGCCTAAACCGAGAACTAAGTATAGGAACCCTGGGGCAATCGGCCTACGTTAAACGCCTGACAATCGGTCCTGTAGGTCACCGCGGTCACGTCCGGTGGTGTCACTCTTATCTACTTCAAACGGGGTTTCGTACCCTAGCTCACAACGTAGGGTCAAGACGGTTCTGTACTAGAGCCAGTCCACCTATCCGCACCAAGTCAAGTTTCCGAGACTACGAGCAAAAGAGATTCTGCCGGAAGACTGCGTACCAGGTGCTCTTCAACATCCATTCTACCAACCTATTGTTCTCTGTCCCAGGTTCTCAAGCCAATCCATAAGGTCCGCCATGGGGTTGACTTACAACCACTATCTCGAGTCCGACAACAAAATCTACGGCTGCAAACTATGCAAAACGCACCTGGCTCTCCATGACGACATCATTAGCAGGGTGAATGACTTCCCCACCTCCTCTTCACGCCTCCAACACATGGCAATACGAGAACAAGGCTGACATGGCAGTGCCCCTCATAGAATTTCCGCGGCCAGCACGGTAGAGCCTACTTGTTCGACTGCGTGATCAACGTCAACGAGTCGGAGCCTACGGAGCGGAACATGACGACAGGCAGGCACATTGTGCGTGATATAACTTGCCGACAGTGCAAAGAGACGGTCGGGTGGAAGTACGACAAGGCGTATGAGCAGCACGAGAAGTATAAGGAGGGCAAGTTCATTCTCGAAGCGGAACTTCTCTGCCAGGTGAAGTAGTCTTGGAGCGGGTTTTGGGAGTGTAGTGGTAGGCGTTCATGGCGGTCATGACTTCCGTTTGGGATACGCGGTGGGCTTTTGTCTTCATCTGGCGTCTGGGGTTCGGAGTGCTTTGGATATTTTCACTCTCGGTCTATGGGGGGTATGCACCGGCCCTCACAGCCTTCACAGCGCTCACGGCAAACTCGGGAATGATTTCAGATGGATCGCTGAGGGGACTCTTCAGAGCTGCTTTCGACAAGCACAGTAGTTCACAATGGCATCCCTGTAACGCTACAAGGCTGCTTCTTCCAAGAGGCTCCCGGGCCGGGAGGGCGCACACTCTGGGTTCCGATTCACAGTGGAAAGCTGGAGTGGTCGTCTAGCTTGATCACATCACCCCGCATGAACCTCGGCGCGGGGAACCTTGAAAGGCTGCAGAGCTAGAAACGCCGCGGACGACAAATGATGAGTAGGACCCCTCAGGACTCTTCATTCCGTTGTGTTTCTTAGGCACCCTCACTCATTTCTTTAATTCATCTTTACTCCTCTCGTTGCTTTTTACAGCTCCCATCTGAGCAGTCGCCCATAGCTTCGCAATGTCTAACGGAATGATGAAGGCCGTGGTCTTCAAGGGACCCAAGAAGGTGGTTATTGAGGAGAGACCCATTCCAAAGATCCAGGATCCAACGGATGTCATTGTCAAGGTGGACAAGGTACCTACTATCCCACCGCTCCCGAACAGTACAGCACTGACATCTTGCAGACTGCACTATGCGGAAGGTACTTCGAGCTCCGTTGACGTTCTCAGCAATCAGACAAACGAACAACAGCCCCTAACTTGGCCCTGCAGCGAACTCCACGTCTTCCGCGGACACCAACCCTCAGGCACTGACTTCATCATGGGCCACGAATTCACGGGCTATGTCCACGAGATCGGCTCCTCCATCACGACGCTCCGCGTCGGCGACAAGGTGGTGTCACCCTTCACCTCGTCCTGCGGCACCTGCTTCTACTGCCGCAACGGCTTCTCCTCCCGCTGCAGCAAATCCCAACTCTTCGGCAGCGTGGGCCTCGACGGCGCGCAAGCCCAATACGTGCGCGTCCCCTTGGCGGACTCGACGCTCATCAAGGCGCCCGAGGGAGTCTCGGACGAGGCGCTGGTGCTCATGGCGGACATCTTCCCCACCGGCTGGTTCGCGGCGTACAACGGGTTCCGGGAGCTGAGCGAGGAGCAGATTCGCGAGAGCACCGTCGTCCTGATTGGGTGCGGGCCTGTGGCTCTCTGCGCGTTGGTGAATATCGTGGATTACAAGCCCAAGCATATTCTTGCGGTCGACAGCGTGCCGTCGAGGTTGGAGCTTGCGCGGAGTTTGGGGGCGGAGCCGTGGAATTTCCAGACGGATCGAGCGGGGTTGGATGCGCGCGTGAAGGAGCTTACGGACGGGAGAGGGGCCGATGTGGTGATTGAGGTGGTCGGACTGAGCCCGGCGTTGAGGATGGGATTCGAGCTGTTGCGCCCATGGGGGGTGATTAGCAGCGTGGGCGTGCATAATGGGGAGATTCCGTGGGACGGCAATGAGGCGTATGGGAAGAACTTGAGGGTTCAGATGGGGAGGTGTCCGGTCAGGAGTATTTTCGAGAAGGCGTTGGGGAGGTTGAGGGAGAAGCAGGGGCAGCTGGGGTGGGTTTTCCTTTTTTGCTCATTCTTGCTGTCTTCCCTTGTTTGTTCTTTTTCCTTTTTCCCCCTCCTCTGATTGAGGATCAAGTGCTGACTTGTGCAGATTCATGGCGGACAAGGTGATGGCGTTGACGGAGGCTGTGGAGGGATACGAGCTGTTTGACCAGATGAAGGTGCAGAAGGTGGTGTTTGAGGCGCAGAAATAGAAGTGTCCTCACTGAAGCAGTGGGTAGACCACGCACTGCTCTCGTTATTTCACTGGACATTCTTCCTTCCATGTGGATAGGTATTCCTGCTATGTACCTACTCACTACCTACCATGTACATACACTGTAATATCTCCCACTTGGCTCGTGCATCGCGGGGTGAGCATAAGGCCAGTCTGGGGACGCGTCGAGCTCCAGCCACAGCCGCCGTATTCTCAGCCTCATCTCTCGATTGTTGACAACGAACAGCAGCTTTGCATTTTCTCAGCAATCGACCAGCAAACCCACCAGCGTCTACCGTTTGTTGCTTCTGTCACAAACCGCTGCACGACAAGCAGCCATTCACGCCACACCCGTCGCCGTTTGGTCGGCGGCTGTGGCTGTGCGCATTGGATTGGATGGGGGAAGGCCCGTCTCGCTAAAGGGAGCGCGCCTTTGTTCCGCCAACCCTTCACCCTCCTCTTCCTACTACCTTCACCTACCTACCTTCACCACCCCCACCACCGCCATCCGCTTCTCACCATCCGCAAGCTCCTCCTCCTCCGCCTCAACTCTCTCTCCTCTCCTCGTCGTCTGCGACACCTCCTCTCCCCGCCCCTCTCTCTCCCCGTCACCTCCCCCTCCACCGTCGTCACTGCTCCTCCCTCCCAATTGTGCACCGCACGCGCACGCCGCACCGACCTCCCCCGCCGCCCGCCGCTTCCCTCAGCCACAAGATCGTGAGTTCCTCTCCGCCTTCTCACTTACCTGCCGCCCCCATCACCACTCCTCCTTCTGCGCCTAAACATCACTTTTAACACTCCACTGAAACTTTCAGAGCGTTCTCCACCCCACACGTCCTACACCTTCACCTCCATCTTGATCGCTCTTGATCCTCTCTCGTACGTGCTTCCCATGCTGTCCTTGTGCGCCGCCGTTGCTGACGGATTACCTGGCAGCTCTTCTACCTCATTCCTACACCATGTCCGTGGAAGAACCCCAACAGCAGGCCGCCGACGTCTCGCGCCTCGGCGAGTCCTTCGACCGCATGGGCGTCAACGATAATAGCGATGCCGCTCCTCGCTCCGACCAAGAGTACACCGAGGCCCAACTCACCCTGCGCGCCATTGTCTCCTCCAAGGAGGCAGGCGTCATCATCGGCAAGGCCGGTCAAAACGTGGCTAACCTCCGCGACGAGACAGGCGTGCGTGCCGGCGTGAGCAAGGTCGTCCAAGGTGTCCACGACCGTGTCCTCACCGTCACCGGTCCCCTCGGCGGAATAGCAAAGGCATATGGCTTGGTCGCCAAGGGCCTGCTGGAAGGCGCTCCCCAGATGGGCATGGGTGGCTTGATCCGCAATGACGGCACCCACCGTAAGTCAATCCCCCTTACAAGACGCGCAACTTGCAGCGCCTATTCGTTGAAGGAGCCCGACTAAGCGCGCTGCAGCCATCCGTCTTCTCATTTCGCACAACCAGATGGGCACTATCATTGGCCGCCAAGGTCTCAAGATCAAGCAGATCCAGGATGCCTCTGGAGTCCGTATGGTAGCCCAGAAGGAGATGCTCCCCCAATCCACCGAGCGCATCGTCGAGATCCAAGGCTCTCCTCAGGGCATCGAAAAGGCCGTGTGGGAGATTGGCAAGTGCCTGATTGACGACTCTGAGCGCGGCTATGGCACCGTGCTCTACAACCCCGCTGTCCGTGTCCAAGGCATGGGTGCTGGTCCTCTGGCGAACGGCGGCCCCGGCATGGGACGTTCTTACAACCGTACGGGTCACGGTGCGGATTTCAGCGATGCGCCTCCATCCTACAACAGACGCGCCGGCTCCGATGCCGCCAATCGGCCGCCCCCTCCCACCCACACCGAGGACGGCCAGGAGATGCAGACCCAAAATATCAGCATCCCTGCGGACATGGTCGGCTGCATCATCGGCCGTGGAGGTAGCAAGATCAGCGAGATCCGCAAGAGCTCTGGAGCCCGCATCTCCATCGCCAAGGCCCCCCACGACGATTCTGGCGAGCGCATGTTCACCATCACCGGCAGTGCCGAGGCCAACGAAAAGGCCTTGTATTTGTTGTATGAAAACTTGGAGGCCGAGAAAGACCGCCGCAGCAGCCAGGCTCAGGAGTAGGCGTGCGGCGATCGCGGGGCCCCGTTCACTCCGGTCACCAAGGCGTTGGGTATTTGGGAAATTGAATGCCCGTGTTTGCGTCTTGCGGTGAAAGTTGGGTTTTGCGCGCCCACAGCACCTCCACATCGGACTCGCACACCCTATGCTACGGATTCAAAAGCCATTTCCACTTCTTCTGCCCTGTCAACCCGATGGATACCGACAACGATGGGGCCCCTTTTTCCATTACTCTTATTTGTCTGCTTCGACACGTCGGTGCAAAATTGAGCGGTTCACGATTCATGACTTATGGCTTGATAGCCCTGCCTCCATATGGGTTGGGTCGAGGTTTAGGCTGAAGCCTGACTTGGAAGACGGCTGGTCCATGGATGAAGATTGGGCGCTTCCCTCACTCTCTCCCGAACTCGACTTCGACACTCCTGCCACATGTCACACTCTCCCTCATCACTGTTATCCGATCTCTCCCTTAAACCCGTACTCCTTAGCTCTTACCCTCGCCTTGCCGCCTTCCCTCTGAGTCTCCGCCTCTGTTCCCGGTCGTGTACGGAGTCTACGGGATGAATGCCGCAGCCGGCAGGATCTATTTTCTACTAGCGTATGTAGAGTAATGCCAAGGTGCGAGACTAGCTTTTCTGTGTGCATGATTGTGAGAGCATCTCTTTCGGCGTGAGCAATGGTAGGACCAATACACAGCTTCGAGCTCACCAACTCCACCATTTCTTGATATCGTCGGAAAGGTTCCGAATACGATTCCGAACCTAGCCACGCTCGGGCCAATGACGAGGCTGGATTGGGATCAAAAGTGCCATAGATGATGCCACATCGCAACTTTCCTATCAGCGAATAATCTGCACCGCAGTGCCTGCTTCGCTCTTCTTACACTCCTTTTGCAGTTGGCTTATTGTGTCACTACAAAAGATTCCATTCAGGTCGCGCCTGGCTCGATAGCTGGCGTGTATCTCGCCTTCCTCTTTAACCCACTCGATTCGACCTAACTCGGCGACACTCGTTTCTCAAGCTTCTCTGCCATGGTGCGCTCGAAGCAGGCGTCGCCTATGCGGCGCGCGCCTTCCGATACATTCAAACAGGCAAATGGCACGCCACACAGGCTTAGTGATGTTATTGAAACCCTGGAGCATGAGGTTGAACAGGCGGCTGAGCTGCATGCTCGCAACCCCAAAGAGATGGAGCGGAAGCAGGGAGGATTGGTTGCGCTGGCAGTTTGCGTCGCTGGGATCTATGCGAGTTTGTGAGTTTTACTTCTGGGCACACTCTTCCAACGGATGGATTGAGCTCATTGCTAATGTGGATTCTTTACAGCCTCTCCTGGGCCTTTCTCCAGGAACGAATCACCACGACGACCTACGGACCTACGCACGCCCGCTTCACCTACTCCATCTTCCTGAACACTATACAGTCCGCTTTTGCCGCTCTGACGGGCTACATCTACCTCGTCTCCTCCTCTCCACGCGATCCCAAGACTGCGGCCCGCAAGATCCCCTCCATCTTCCCCTCCCGCGCCATCCTCCTCCCTCTCATCACCATCGCCATCACCCAATCTCTCGCCAGCCCCTTTGGCTACGCCAGCCTAAAACACATCGACTATGTTACCTTCATCCTCGCCAAGAGCTGCAAACTCCTCCCCGTCATGTTTCTCCACATCTCGCTCTTCCAGAAACGGTACCCACTGTACAAGTACATGGTCATCGGATGCGTCACGCTGGGCGTCGCAATCTTCACCCTGCACAACCCGTCGACGGCCAAGAAGGCGGCCAAAAAGGCCGGCGCCGCCAACGCAGACGCATCCAAGGCGCTCGGCCTGTTCCTCCTTGGCATCAACCTCCTGTTCGACGGCCTCACGAACACCGTCCAGGACCACATCTTCACCACCTTCCGCGGCTTCACGGGCCCGCAGATGATGTGCGCCCAGAACATCATCAGCACGCTCCTAACCGTTGCCTATCTCCTCCTCTCGCCGTACGTCGCAGGGACACCCCTGGGATCCTGGATCGGCCTACCCACGTCCTCCTCCGCCGGCGAACTCAGCGACGCTCTCGCCTTCGTCACCGCGCACCCGGCTGTGGGATGGGACGTGCTCGCCTTCTCGGCGTGCGGCGCCGTGGGCCAGGTCTTCATCTTCCACACGCTGGCGCACTTCAGCAGCTTGTTGCTCGTCACGGTGACGGTGACGCGGAAAATGCTGACGATGCTGATGAGCGTGGTGCTGTTTGGGCACAAGGTGACGGGGATGCAGTGGTTGGGGGTGGGGTTGGTGTTTGGAGGGATTGGCGCCGAGGCGGTGTTTACGAGGGCGGAGAAGAAGGAGAAGGAGAGGCGGAGGAGGGAAGAAGGGGGGAAGAAGGAGCTTTAGGGGGAGTTTGTTTGAGGAAGGGTTGGTGGAGTTGCGCTGGGGGTTTTGGATATATGGCGCTTGTTTTTCATACTTCTTTCTCCTTTCACTTCATTGGTAAATGCTGAGTACTCGTAGACTGAGTAACTCCAGGCGTCACTTATATATACAGCGATAGAGGATATCCAGTAGAAGGAAGAAATCGAATACGGTTCTAACACACATATATATATATATATATATATATATATACCGAGCGGAATGCATACTTAGCTGCGATATACTCTTCTCACTCCCGACTCTGCGGTATCCGATTTGTTGCAGGTGATTTCGCTCATTTATTTCATGTTCTTTGATCTATGTACTAGAGCTTTGAGGGACGAGATGGAATCGGAATTGGAATATTCTACCCAGTTCGAGCCTGAAGGATGTGAGAATCAAAAAGAGGCTAATCTGCTTTTTGATCTAGCTTGGTTATTTTTGGTATTAGCTACTTCAGAGCTAGCGTCTCCGGGCGCTCCCGCAGCTAAGGTTCGTCCTAACATTCTTCCAAGGTTCCACCTTAACACCACGACTCCAACCAGTACAAAGTCGACCACTCTTCTGCAATATCTATCTCACCCCCTGGGGAGTCTTAGCTGCTGCGGATTAGGAGAAGCAGAAGAACGCTCAAACACAAGCTCGACCTAGCGGACAAAGCGTCTACAACCCTGCCAGCCGTGTCTTCGAATTCTTCCTCTCTTATAAATCTTCCCCATCTAGGGCAATATTTTTTATATTGGATGTACCTCTTAGGTGATCCCCCTCTGGGCATCTCCTCTGTGGTTTATCATTCTGTATAGTCAGTCTGAGGCGTGCGTGGTGAGTGGATGTAGTGGTGTATCTGGTGGATATCACTCTCTTACGCTGCTGCCATTCACTCTCTACTGCCATTCTTTTGAGGAATAGAGGGGAACGGGGAACGGGGAACGGGGTATGGTTGGGTTTTTCATGTTTTGATGTTGATAACCTGGGGTATACGAAGCAGCGCCAGCGTCAGACAGTCAGCAGTCAGAAAGAGATATTCTCTCCTCCCAGAGGCTGGATTCGCAGACATATCTGCAGTTACGAGGGATTATCAGATCCGCGATATGCAGACCGGGAGACGCTATCGACCGAATCGCCAGCCTCGTGGCGATGGCAGTGACGGCGGAAGAGGGGGATCGAGCGGTGGGAGAGGCAGAGGAAGGGGAAGAGGAGGAAATGGTCGACTTGGTCAGAACGACGACGGTGGAAACAGCACATCGGCCACCAACACCACCACCACAAACAACCAACCCACACCATCACCCTCCCACCCCCGAGCCCTTTCCCACCGGAACTTCCAGCCCTCTCCGTCTCGTCTCTCTCGCTCCGTCTTTCAAACCCGCCAACCCCGCCCACCGCGTCACAACCATCCACCCGTCCCACCCCGCTCCGCCCTCGTACCGGGAACGACTCGCGTCTCCATCATCCTGAAGCAGGATCAGTCCACGGGCCGACAGGTGCAAGGCGTCGTAGAGCAGATCCTGACGCGAGGTGATCATCCACGGGGTGTGAAGGTCAGGCTGAGGGATGGAAGGGTGGGGAGGGTGCAGGGTGTTCTTGGTGATGGGGATGGTGGCGAGGGGACCGCGGGTGGCGCCGGAGTCGAGAGGGTTCTTGGGGATGAGGAGGAAAGCGCACGAGGAGCAGTGGAGGGCGGCCAGGCGAACCAGAACCAGAACGGGAACAGCACGGTATTCGTCCATGGCGACATGTACCACGGCGAAGAGTTACGCGGCCGAGGAGGACGACGAGGAAGAGGAAGAGGAGGAGGCGGGAGAGCAACTGGCGCGGCATCGAGAAACCAAGGCCCGATCCTAGGAGGAACCATACAATCCTCACGCTCCTATCATCACGTCACCGACGTCCGCGCCGACCCTTACACATATACGTACGAAGACGAATCCGGATCCACCGGCAATCACAACAATAACCTAAGCGCGTACGTGGACGCCGCGCTCCAGCGAATGGAAGCGCTGGATCTCGAGTCCGCGACTAGGATAGCCGGTGCGGCGGCGGATATGCCCATCGCGACGGCGACGGCGACAGCGACAGCGACGTGTCCTGTTTGTGGTGAGTTTGAGGGGGATGAAGGGGCTGTGGGGTGGCATGTTGGGAGGGTGCATTTTGAGGGGGGATGAGTGGTGGATCTGGGCGAGGGAATTGGGAGTGCGTTGGAGGTTTGTGGACTAAGACGAGGACCGTCTTTATATGTACTGCACAGCGGCAGTACGAAGATCATGGAAGAGGATGGCCAGCGAGTCGGCAGAAGGCAAAAGGTGGCATTCATTTCCAAGTGGAGCACGTTGGCTGGGTGGCAGAAAGAGCTGGATTCTATTCCACCCTGCAAAAACACCAAAGTGCCGTAAACGAGCCCCTGACGGTCGAGCTTGACAATCTCCCATTCACTCAACCGCCACGACGCAGCATAGTCTACAACCGACGATGACGAGAGAGCCCCAGTAAAATTAGAGTGCTGGAAAAAGAATCCCGAACCCCAGACTTCCCAATCTACCTCACTCAATCCCCACCACCACCACAACCACCTCCACAACCACCACCACACCCACCAGCACCACCACCGCAACCCCCACACCCTCCGCTCGCATGTCCATCCCCACCACAACTAGCCGCGCAATCAGGCGTCCCCTCACCCCCAGTACAAGACCCCATACTCGCACTCGGCGTACACGTGCCCGCAGCGCAAGACCCGCAAGCTGCGCCCGCGATCCCGCCCCCCGCACTCGTAAACCGGTCCCCCTCGCACGTCGGCTCGGCGTAGTAAGGGACGTACACGGGATAAGGATACATGACGGGGTACCCATACGCCGAATAGACATAAGCATCGCCCTCTCTAGACGGCGCCTCTCCATCCTTCTTCTTACCCTTCTTCTCCTGCTTCTTCTGATACTTGGCCCACCTCTTACAAACCCTCGCATACTGCAGGTCCAGCGCCTCCATCTCGGCCCTCCGCTGCTGCGCCCACGAAACCCCACCCACACCTTTCACATGCACGACCGTCTTGACCGCATCGTGGGCGCTCACGTGCACGCCCACGGACGCGTCTTTCTTCCCACTACATCGTTCTTCGCTCCGCGCCACCATTTCCACCGAGTACCCCCTCTTGGCTGCCCCAGGTACCCCAGGGAGATCCAAAACCGTGTTCGACAGGCTGGACCGCAGCGGTTCGCGCACGCACTCGCAGTACCAGCACGCGCACTCGGCGTAGGGCGTGCCGTACTTGGCCTCGTAGACGCGCGAGGTCCAGGCGAAGGAGGCGTGGAGCTCCGACTCGGGGATCTTGTCCGAGTGGTTGACGAATCTCTTCGTCTCGGCGAGGGTGTAGCGGTAGTAGAGGGGTGGGGTGAGTTGCTGTGTGTGCTGGGCGGAGGGTTAGTTCAGGGCGTGGTTTTGGGGTGTAGATATCTAGAGAGAGACGAGGGGGGGGAGGATAGGAGAAGTAATAAAAGAAAAAACAAAACCGTCAGAGTACAAGAAAACGATTATGACAAGAAGAAAGACCGTAACTCACCCACGCCAAATCCACATCCAACGTCGGGACCGCCACCTTCCAGAAATTATCCGCCACGATCCTCGTAAAACGATGATACTTGACAATCGCCCTCTGCATGGTGCTCTTCCACGCAGGGCTATGCAGCCAATCGATCCGGTGCATCTTCTGCACGAAACTGGCCTGCCGGATGACGGCGCCGACGAGGTCGATGCCAAAGGGCGACGAGTTGTCCCAGTAGTGCGACAGCGTCTTGCGGACGGCGATCTTGCTGTGCCTGCACAGTTTCTCCGGGGTGAATTGCTCCCAGTTGACGCGTCTAATCGTGTCCTCGTCGTTCATGATTTGCTCGAAACGGTTCTTGAGGTAATCGATGGTGAGGTGGTCGAGTTTCTCGCGGATGGCCTCGACGCGGAATTCGTCGAGGGTCGAGACGACGCGGTTGGGGAAGAAGGGGTCGTGCGTCCCGATGTGCTTGTTCTTCTCCGTCATTTGGACCATGCCCCTGGTCTTGAGGATGGTGCCGGGTAAGGGGATGTACTGGATGCGGACTTTCTCCACGTCGTCGATGAACTTGGCGGCGCGGAGGGTCGAATGCGTGACGGTGAGCGTGCAGGACGGACATGTCTCGCGGAAATTCGCTCCGGAGAAGCCTGTATCGTGGTCAAGGTAACTTTGCATTGTCTCGGGGGTGGTCTTGTCTTTACCGGGCGCCCGTGTCCACGGAACGTCCAACTTCTTCTTCCTACACCTAGGACACTTGAGCGAAAACGAAGTCCTCTCTCTGACACCCCTGGGTTCGTCGATCAAGACGTCAAAGGGCCGGCGCGTATCCCGCTCAAAATTCCACACAGCGTCGCCGTCCTCGGGGACGCGGTACTCGAACGTCTCGCCGTCGATGATGCGGTGGATGGTCTCCCAGGGAAACTTTGTATGCCAAAGGGAATGCCGTGAGAGACGCATGCAGTCTTCCATGTAGATTCGCGGATTCAGCATATGTGCGTGCCACAGCATGAGGACATCGAGAGGTGGAACCAGTGAATCATTCCCTTCACTGACATCATCTTCAACGTACATTCGGGACTCTAGACCGGACCCTTCGAGGGGGAACCTATCCGCTCGGGTAGCAGGAGAATCGGTTGGGGCTGGGAAGGCGTCGAACTGATGCATCCGCGTGGCGGAGGGGAATTGAGGGCTGCGATTCCGACCGGCGAGAGTAGTCCACCAGGAGTCGTACCGCTGGGCGGCGAGATGAACAAGGACGCTCCAGCGTTTTTCGCGGATGCGTTCGGCAAGGTCCGTGTAGGTGGCTTTGTCGGTAGAAGCATTGGAGGTATCTGCTTCGTCCTGGGCATCCCTTTCAGTTAGCCCCTTCTCTTTCTGCGCCGCTGAGGCAGTTTCACCAGCGGCGCTCGGCGGCAAATCCCAGATGCCAAACAAGCCGTCCCGAGTCCCAACGTCGTGCCTCAATTTGGCAAAGGCATGCAGCATTTTCAAGTGCGTCATGCACTCCACGACCGTGGGCAATTCCAAGGGGCTACGGGTGAAATCCACCTTGGAGAAGGTTGGGACGGTGTGTGATGGAGTCGGTGTCGTTTCTGCTCCCGTAGCTCTCTGGACGGACAATGACGTGGACGATGTGTACGGCGGAGGATCCTCCTCCTCCAGCCTGCCCTTCTCCTTCGTGCCCTCCTTTCCATTCCCCATCACCTCATGTCCATCTCCTCCGTCTTCCCCCCGTCGGTTCTTCACTTCTTTTCTCTCTTCCGAGAGGCTGGCGTCCAGGGCGGCGATGGTGACGCGGCGGCGCTCGTTGGCTTCGCGCTCTGCGGGTGTGCGGCGCAGTGCGCCGGTTAGAGACGTTGTTGACATTTTTTATGAATGTTGGTGTATTCTGCAAGATGAATGATCCCCGAGCCGTTGACTTTGGCAACAGAAGAAATATGGACGTGAAGGAGCCACACGACCGGAGAGAAATGATTTGGCTAGAAGAATAGAACAATAAGCAAACCCTCAAATAACAGAATAAGAAAGCAGAACAAGTAAAAGAGGATATAGCTCCGTAACAAGGCGAGGAGACTCAAACAAGACCCATGATGAACGTTGCCCGGTTCGTCGTCGAGCACGGAAACCGTGACTGAAAATGAAATGAGGAGATGACGCTGAAATGAGGTAACTCTGTACGCCGACGACAAGTCAATGGAAGAACAGCCGCGCTCTAGAGGCATGCAACTACGCCTTTATGTACTCTGTACAGTCCACAGTGTCCATTTCCACTTCCCGACTTGCCGGTGAAGAAAAGGGTTCCCAACTCGAGGCTGCATGGCCGTGCCCGATTTGGCGATGCATCAATTGAGCTTAGCCCGTTTGGGTATAACAGCTCGTGTGAGGCTGAGAGGGTCCAAGGTGGTTGCAGCCACTCGTTGTGGCACGTCGCGTTTTTGGAGATTCCAACTCGCTGGTGAAGACGTGTGTATGGATAGTGCGAGTCGGTAGAAGGTCGCGGAGTTCCTGTGGCAGTGTACTCCGTACGATGCAATACATATCCGCAATAAAAGGGTCGTAGCACGACTTAGCTAGTAGTTGACACAGCCACCCCCCTTGTTGTATAGTTACCAGTCCATTGAAATGCGGATCGCTTAGAGGCTACAGTTGCAGAGAATAGCAACTACTGTGGTAAAGAGAGTGTGTGGCAGCTAATGGGTAAAATCATGGTAAATGGAAAAGATGAAGCCAACCCTCCCTAAGGGACAGAGAATCCCCAGGCATGAGATAGAATGGTCTCGTGCACTGCCCTAGCACTGCATCTTCGCGGCAAAGTACTCCGTAGAAGGCTTCTATCGACCAGAAATCAGCTTGCTCGTTACGAGGATGGAAGCCAGGCCTAGATCCTCGAGGCGTGTTAGGCTGTTAGCGTGTCCTCTAACCTTGAGGCTGAGCTCCAACCGGGAAGCCACGACACCATTCTCACCTGCCATCCGCATAAGAGCGACGAGACAAGTCGAGAAGAGAACAAAGACGAAAGGATTCTTAGAAAAAGAGAAAAGATTGAAGATAAAAGGGAAGGAAAAAGGTTAGTAAGATGATTGGATAGCAAGAACGTAAATATATATATGAAATGAACCAATCAGATAGGATCGACCGACAAAGAACCCAACCTAAAAACAAGGTCTTCAGAGCGCAGTAGCAAACCCGCACAACCAGCTAGCTAAAGGTATCCAGAGTGATATAAGGCGATAAGAGGAAACCTGCCGAACACGCGTACAAGTATCTCCATTGCCAGCCTCGCGGATGACGGATGCGAAGCGTCAGCGGCGTCGGCATCGGCCTGCCGCACTTGCCCTTCTGCCACTTCCACATCGGTACGGGATACGGCTACGGCTGCGGTACGGTGCGCAGCGAATATGAGCTTTGCCGAGATACAGTCAGCAAAAAACTTAAAACGGCTGCATTGACTCTGGCCCACGTGTAAGAGTGCCGTCGTCTTATGTTATTTGTGGTGGTCAGCAAACCATGGGAGCTCTCTACTCCGGACATCGCTTGTGTTGATAAGATGGGTGCTATAGCTGATGAGTCTGACCGAAGTAGATGAAGGGGGCAAATGCCTTGGTGGCGCTGAGGTGAGATGTATAATGTGCGTGGACTTGCTCTTAAGCATCCGTTTTTATGATAGAGAGTGATTATGACTGATTCTGGTTGATGCAGTCATCTATTGGACCTGCTTACCGACTGCATTCCGAGGCTGGTCTTACTGTTATTACAGTAAACTTGCAGCAACTGTTTTCTGGTCGGGCAAGGCTGCAGAGTTCCTCTTCGCTTGTCGGGTATCTGACTGCATACCGGTATGCGTAACCATAGTGGCTGAAATAAAGGGTAGGTATACCACAGTATCTGAGGTTTGAATAAGCAGTACGCAAGAAAGGAGCTGCAAGTGAGCATGATTGAAGTGAGATAAGCAGCACATAATCGCATATCAAGGCTTCGAAGCGGGAGTATTACTGATCAGTAAAAGGTAGAACCAGTCGAGTGGCTACCGGCGAGAGTGCTCTGCGTTCAATCAAGAATGATAGTCTACTAAGCCAGGTAGTACACCGTGATTAGGATGGAAGCCGGCTAGTCTCGGACTCCGCATCTCGTGTGGTGTACATGTCCGTCACACGTATAGTCTAATCTTAGTCCATGCGGCTGACCTTTTTGGACACCACCTTTCGCTGCGAGTAAGGTTTGATAGATAGACGAGCTGCACTCTCATATGCATAGGATGCGAGGAAGGGTGAAAAAGTGCAACCGCAGAACTGGAGCGAGGACGGCTCACAGCACACAAGCCCAGGCAGACATCAGCCACGGTGAAACGTCAAACGGCGAAGAGATGCAAGAGGTGGTGAACTGCGAACAAGTCTGCTTGGGGGAGGACTGGAGGTCGTGCTCGCAAACGGACACGACGACTCCACCGGCTAATCGGGTCCCGGTTAGTGAAGACCATGACTGCGGACACGGTTGCTTTGGTGTATCCTAGTGTATAACGGCGATCGGGAGGGAGGGGAGCATCGAGTACCGACCCCATTACTCCGCAGAACGGAGCAGTAAGTGTGTAGTTCTGTGATATACAGGTATGCTGCTTCCCGGTTCCAACGCTGCAAAGGTGCCTAGTCTGAGGGTCGCGGGAAAAGCGCCGGTTGCCCAGATGCGCTACAGGTAGCCGGTTAGGCGCTCCACGTGTGAGCAGGGTTGCCTGAGAAGCCAGGCGACGCCAAAGTCGAGTCGAGTGTGTGAAAAAAAGAGCTGTCCCCCTCGTAACTGCAGCCCACCCTTGCACTCGCTTCCATCGGCTTGGGCTCCCCGCTGCAGAAGCTGCCGGGAGAATGAGTCCATCCTTCACAAACTCATCAGACGACGGGTCAGGTTGCAAACGCCAAACCCACATTCCGCACTCCCCGACGGAGCCAGTTTTGTCAGCGTAGCTTGGGGACTCGAGAGCATCCCAGGATTGCTCTGACGGAGAGGCACGCAATCGAACGATCGAGAGATGCGGCTTGCCTCAAGTACTGTACAGTGCTCAATCTTCGGTACAACCAAGCAATTGCACATGTGGGATTGGCAGCAAACCCGCGAATATAGCTCGAGGATCATTTCGTCAGCGACGCATACATAGAGACGGGAGGAGAGAGAGCAATATGAAGGTGAAGGTGCTGCTTTTTCGTCCAGATGCACTTTCTTCTTGGGAAGAAGGAACTCGTTACGGCACAGAGACCAGGCCTGGTGACCCCTGGCAATAATGAGGGCAAGGCTGTTGGGATGGGATGTCACGGTTGTCCGGAGCTGGAGTCGTCATGTCCGGCCAATCAGGTTACGGGATTGACATGCGTTTTTATTATTGGGCAGCGGGCTCGTACAAAGGAAGCGGGAGCCCGTCGTAATTCTGCCAAATTGGCAAAAACGGTCATCATCCGACAAGTCAGTCGATAACGGCCATGTGCGCTGCAAAGGAAGTGCTTGCGAGGCAGAATTCAGAATTCTCTGACTTGCAGCTGGGTGTGACGGGGTAGGTGTGCTGTTTCCTCCTGTCTCTGATTTTTTGTCGTCAATAATAAGAATGGAGTGCGACACAATGACCTGGCTGAGTAGGCATACCTTGTGGTGAATTCTCATTTGATGACAGGGCAGCCTTTGTGTGTCTGTGTGAAACGGGCTCGTTGTTCGGGACCCACGGTATGCAGCCGGGTTTTGCTGCGAACCAAGCCAGTCGGAGGCGTGCATGTCGCTACACACAGAATGGGCGCTGTTGGGTGGTCGGCGAAACGACGCGGTGATGGGTCCAATTCTTGCCAGAATCCGAGCCCTCTGCCCGCCAAAGGCGCCTACAGATCGGTGAGTAGCCTGTCGATGATGATGGCACTGGTGTGCCACATGCGAGGCACGGCGAGGCACAGCGAGGCGCGCCTCAGCCACATGGCATCCTATCCACAGGGTTGGAGCTGCAGAGAGCAAAAGACGTCTCAACGCAAAAGCTGCTGATGGCGGATGCGACACCACAAGGATCGCCAAAGCTCACTTTGAATAATGGTCTCTGGATCGCAATTATGGTTTGACGGGTGTCGGTCGCAACGCAACGGACGATGGCGACCAGGGCGACCAGGGCGACCAGGGCGCGATTTTCTAGAGGGTTTCCAGAAGAGACAACAAGCCCTGGCCAAGCCAACGCTCATGCCCCATTCGGCATGGCGGCACGGTTACTAGTCATAGGAAGATTTGGGCGAGCGGCGTCGCGGAACAAGGGAGAGACATGCGTCGACGGTTGGTGGAGTATCTCATCAGTCTCGGTATCGCAGAGCAGTTGTGGAGACACGACGTGCGGCGACGACGACAAGGCGGGTATGACTGCCCGCAGCCCGAAATGGCTGTGCTGTCGCCCGCAAACGAAAGTCACGTTGCGCCAGGACCAAGACGAGAGAGAGAATGAGACAAAGGAGGAATCGGACGGGCGGGTCGGTCTCAGTCCCACGTGGAGGGTACTGCAGGCCAGAGAGCTGGGAATAGACAAAGAAACATGGAGGAAAAGCAACGTCGGATATGTAGTTGGACGGCACTGATAAGCCAGACTGACGCGACTACCGACTGTGCCTCAGGGAAAAAGCAATCATTTCCTGTCTTGAAGATGAACAACAAAGTCATGAGCGGAGAGAAGTCGCGCCTGAGGATTGCTGGACCTGGGCGAGGGAAGCCTCCAACAACCCGGGTCCTGGTGAGTGGTGATGTGTTGAGTATGCAGAGCGCGCAGCCAGCAGTGGGTCCGACGGAGAGGCGTCCGGACGGGAATAATGGGCTTCTAGCGGAGTTCCAGGAGCAATTCCTGTTGCGGTTGCGAGTCAAAAAGGCGCAGGCTGTGCCAAAGGACGGTTGCGAGCTGAGATGAGCCCGTGTCAGCGCATGGATATTAAAGTATGTATGTACCAACCAGCACCCTAGGGTAAGGCAGAAGGTGACAGCGTCGGTGGCCGGAGTAGAGCGAACGTTGGTTGCGGGATACGGACAGATACGTCGGCGTAGAGATTACTGTATACAAGTACTAGTAGAATAGCAGCAGTGGGTAGTCTCCTGGATTCACAGCTTTGCAGAGAAGTCCTTCACTACTGCAAGTCAAACGTGCCGACGGGGGCTCACGGGCGGATGCAGGAACAGGCTCTAGCGCCGTCTTGGCGCGCGCCTGGCGTGACAGGGGCTACCCGGACCCACGGTCTTTGGTGGATCATCAAGGGAAAAGAGACGACCCCCCTGTCCTCCGTCTCCCTGGCCCATCACCGACCCGCGGGCAATACCAGCAGGCCTCCCGGCACTCCCCTTTGGCACAAAGTGGGTGCGCCCAACTTTTTGAAACTTGCCCGGGCACGTCACCGTGCGAGCCATCCTGAAAAGCACTGCTCCCAATTTCATTTGTCTCGCCCAAAAAGCCAAGCCGTCCTGACTTGCCAGCGTCCAGGTGTCCAGGACCCCTTTCTATCCCCCCCAGTCCGCCCTTTTTATATCAGGAATGGCACGCCCCGAGAAATTCCTGCTCTCATTCCCACTCTTCTTCTCTCATCCACCATCTACTCGCTTCACTCGCCTTACCCTCTTCCCCGGGTACCTCACTCTCCCTCCTCTCTCTACTCTGAAAAAGTTCCAAACTGCGAACTTGCCTGGCTGCCGTCCACTGGAACAACAATACAAACCCGTCGGCCTCTCGAACCCCTTCTGCCACCGGAACACCTTGCCCAGTCCAGAAGTCTCCCTCTACGCCTTCCACAGCCCTATTCCACTCAGCTGCCTGTGACACCTTGTCCGGCCGGCCCTCGATCATTTATTGTGTGAGTCAGCCCACGGCGTCGGCGAGAGCTGACTGCAGTCACCTCTTTCTCGTCATCACCCGCTGACACCATAAAGCCTTCCGATATCCTCTACACAATGATTGTCCGGGAATCCGAATCTTTCAACATGGGCCGTGGAGCTTACGACACGACTGGCACCCCTAAACCGCCTCCACCGCCCAAGCGCCGTTAGAAGCACTCGCTTCTCCCTCGACAGCATCCCTTCGCACCGCCATTGCGACCACTTCGGCTTTCGACGACTTTTGCTGTCGGGGAATGGAGGGATGGCTTGCGCCGCCTCGTAAGTTATCACGATCGGCTTACCTTGCATGAACACCCCGACCCTAACATTTTACCGCTGCAGCCTTACACCGCCCCCCATCTCATCGATCTGGTCGCAATCACCGACCACACACCCACCTCGTATACTCTGCCACGTCTTGCTTCGACTCCGTTCTACTCCTTCGGGATTACGCCTTTCTAATCATCAGCGCCTTTTCGTCTTCGTCTCTGCGGATTTAATACCCCTGTACCACCACCCGCATTCAGCCTTCGACCAGCACTCGGCGCTTCCCTTGCTTCCGCGTACCCTTCCCAGCGACGCACCTTCTCCTTGCGAAAGAAAAAGTCTCCTTCCTTTCGGCGTTATTAGACTAGGTGGGCTCAGGCACGGATACCAAAATCGGACTTTCCTTGTTTCTCTCCCGGGACAGCATTTATCACGGCACTTTCTTCTAGATTTCCCACACTGCCGGCGTTCGCTCGCATAGATGAGGCAGTGGAGTTTTGTATTATCACTCGACAGGCAGGTACTGGATCTGGGTCCCTCTTTCGGTTCATGACCGGGTGCACTGCTACTATGGTTTCTGCGTTCAGGCAAAGCGGCCGTCAAGGGCGACGGCATGGGCCTGGATTTTCTTTAGATGGGAGCTAGATCAGCCTGGGTCCCGGTCCCGTGTGTCCCACGACACATCCGGGTGGAATAGACTTACTGTTGTAATCACTTCTTACAAAACGTACCATGCGGGTGACACTTCAAGCGTGACAGGACCATCGCTCCCCGTCCGTCTGTTTGGCGTCGCGCGGATAGCAATTGATCTCGATTCGAGCTGCTGAAGGTGGGGTGACACAGTTGCTTTTGGCTTGCTTCCTTGCGACTGCGCCTTCAATATTTGGCAGGGCCTGTCATTCCCCTGAGGTGTCAGGCTGAGTGACATACCCCTGCTATCTGGATGGAAGTGAAGGTGTATCGTAGCAATCGGAATGTCCTGTCGCACTGGTGGCGCGTCGGATCTTCCGCCAGGGCGTCCCCGAAAGGCTCGTCTCGTCTCGCGTCTGTACGGTACCGTCCGTTCTGGGCGTGGGATGAATATGCATCCTTGCTGTGCCTATCTACCTGCCTAGGTACTGTAGGAGGCTGGATGGTGATGCTTTTTTGGGCTTGAAAGTCTTGGCACTAGGGTGGGTCGCAGCCTGTCGGGCGCCCCACGTTCCCTGCTGTCAACGTCCCTCCTTCCCTCTTGACCTCCTACCTAGCTACCCTCACTTACTGCTCACGACAACTGACAACACCACGCCCACAACGCCCATCTTGTAGCCAATCCATCGGCGACTCGTGCCCCCTCTCTCTCGACGCCACCCGACCACGCCGCTCCGCATCAATCGATCGTCTCGCACCCACCTATCCGACATCATGGCCAACGTCAACTGGCGGACCATCAACATTGATGCCTTGGACCCAGACTCGCCGGCCAACTTCGACCTCTCCACCCTTGCACCCTCCGTTACCCCCGTAGCCACCGCCGATGTGCAATCACTAGCCTCGCAGATACGACAGCTGCTTCGTGGAGGAGACAATGAAGGCGCTCTACGGGGAGCGTTGGAGAACCCGCCATGTGGCGCAGACGACAAGGGCAAGGTAGGTGACCACATGCTACCTCAGCATCATCGTTCTACATTCCAAGACCCGGCGTTGGACCGTACCATTGAGTGTCATTCCGCGTCCGCTCTGTCCCCGTTGGCACCGTCACTCTTGCTACACCATTGATCCTCCCTCGGTTCACCTCCCTTCCTCCCGCACCCTCGCACTCGCGCAAAGGAACCAAAGCCAGGGCTGACTTGAATATCAATGAACTCAGGAAGTACACCTCGCTACAGTTATTGAGATTTTGCAGTCAATCCGGCAGTCGGAAATGTCGCCGCTACTCAATCGCATATACAGCTCTCCCGGTGGGCCAGAAGCGCTGGATGTGCTGATGAAATATATGTACGTTCGGGTCCTTCAGTCGCTTCCGTTGGGAGGTTACACCGTCACATACCCATTTTCAGTGCCGCTTTGGAGTGCTTTGTAACTTGATATTACCGTGTTCCCCAGTCGTGTCCTACAGCACATCTAGTCTCTACACTCGTACACATTTGACTAATCATCTTGGGAGCAGCTATAAGGGAATGGGACAGACGAGCACGTCGAATCCGACGCGGAACATCACACCCCAGCCGACCGGCTTTTCCCAGATTCACCCTCGCGGAGCAACTGAAGGCGGCGGCCAAGCCATGAGCGTGTTGCTCAGCTGGCACGAGAAGGTATGCATTGGATCATTTTCATTTCTTGGACTGCCTACTCTTGTGGTTGCCGAATGTCGCAACTCTATGCTTCACTAGATGCCAGTGCTGCAGTTCAGTTCCGCGTTATTCACGTTCTTTCACTGACACATCACAGCTGGTTGAAATCGCAGGGCCTGGCTCTATTGTTCGAGTCATGACTGATAGGCGCACTGTCTGAGTGGCCAGCGTAGCTCACCAACGCCCAGCTACCACGCTGACTCACAGAAAATGGGAATTGCAGACGCGATCCAGATAAACCTCATCCGGTCAACACCGCCTCAGCACAGCACGTAGCGGAGTACGAGGAAGCCATGAATACACGAGTTAATACGGGCAAGGCCATCCGAGGCCAGGCTCAGGAGACCCTTCTATTCAGCCTTTGTTCATGTGCAATTCATCAGTCCTGAGCCATAACTTATCCGGGCCGGAGAACGGCTCGACTTTGAAGACCTTTTTCCCGCCCTCCCGCCCGTGCTCTGGTGCCGAAATGAATTTATTACCTACCTTGCCAAACGCACTGACATGGTGAGCAGCCCCAATGGAATGTTCTTCAGCCCTGCGACCTCGCTTCCCCAGCCACCCTGAATTTTACCAGGAGCAGGGAAGCGGAGCAGCTCCTCCGGTTATGAAACTGAAGACGCCAACTCGACAGGCCACGTCAAGGGAACCAGGCTCGCGGCAACGGTGCCGTGCTTCCATGCTTCCATGCTTCCTTCCATGCTACCCCGTGCTGGGAACATGGAGCGTTGATGACTGATGAAACATGGTTGCAATAGCAACCTGAAGGGTCTCGCCTGATCGCCAACGGACGGGCAGTAGTGTCACTAATTAACCTCCTAGACAGGTCTTTGATCCGCCTTTGCGGTCTCCCCCTCTAACTGCGGTTTCTCCCACAGGCACATGGCTCATAATGAAGACTGGGCCCTCTATTTTCGCAGTGGAGAAAAAACTTATTACTCCGTACAGCAAGTGTGAGTCTGTCCTGCGACACGACCACACGTTATGACGCTCCACTGGTTCAGGCCAGGTGCTTGCACTATTCTCCCTCAGTTAGATTTGGTACCTGTTGCATGGCATGCCCTCCCAGGTTAAACTGTTGCTGGCCCCTGTCTATGCATAGCAGCACTCACCTGATCGGCCTGCAATGCGCGTTTATTTTCTGTTTTTCCCTCGTTGGCTGTTCTGCCTGATATTAATCCTTCTTGTTATTATTATTTTTATCAATCACAAATTCTAACGGTCCTGCGGCGCCACGCAGGCATGCAGGGGCGGTAATGATGCATGTGCTCGCGTGGACGGTGGACCGACCGGCATGCCGGCCGCATTAAAGTTCACTGATCAAACGTTGCTGACAGTGTTGGCAGGGTTTCTAGGACAAGGTTTTTGGAGACGAGAGAACTGACTCGTTGTGCGGCTGATGAGCACATGCAATGCATGCACGGGAGGAGGTCCGCTGTCAGACTGCAAGAACAACAGCAAGACAAGGGCTGTTTCTGGTCGCGGATGGAGGCATCGGCGTCGGCCATGTTCGAGAAGGATTATGGTCGATGAAACGTGGAAGCCTGCCGCCCTCGGTTCCTCTCCCGCTTCGGTGTGTCGCGCCTCTGACCCTGACCGCCTCTCTTCCCAATAATGACAACGACCACTCTCCTCAGCCTCCCTTGGGAAATCCGCCATCAAATCCTCCGTGACGCTGTATCTCTTGAACGCCATCCCCCTTCTCCCTGCTCAATCGGCTCTGGGAGGGTATGCCTTCGCAACCATGTCGACCCATACTGGACTCCCATAACGAATATCTACGTTGAGACGGAGCCGGTAAGCAGCGCTCAAAACGCACTGCTTCAAACCAGTCGCCAGCTGCGTACAGAAACACAAGATGTCCTAAAGGCCACGGATGCGAGGCGCTATCGCCTAGACGTCCTTTTCGTGAAGGAATGCGGCCTGGTCCCAACATGGCTCTCTTTCCCGCGTCATCAGAAACACATTGACGAAGTCTACGTCCAAATGCGCATCTCGGACCCTCCCGACAAGCCTGACGAATGGCTGGAAGCGGCACGGTACGCCGACGACTTCGACGGCAGCGACCGAACAAGCTGGAACATCATGTTCCTCCTTACCGTGTACCTGCTGGGTGGTCTTCACCCTACTACGGCTGCTCTCTCTGATGGAGGAACCACCCCCGACTATGAGGACGACGACCCCTTCCACAGTCTACCCCGCAACATCGCCAAGTACACCATCAAAACCCTCATCATTGACGTCCTGGGACAGCCTGCAGATGACGCCGACGCCGATGCTGACGCCGGGGAGGCCCAAGACCGGGCCCGCAATGTCTTCGGCCACTGCATCTTCAGGGCCAAGGCTGCTGGAGTCGACCCGGCCCATAAGCTCGCCCGCGAGCTATGGAGTTCGCTTGACCTGGCGCTATCCGTAAACCATCCGCATCTGCTGTATGGCCGGTTGCTGCACGAGAACATTGGCGCCATCGAGATACGCGTCAATGGCGTGCAGTGGACCAGGGACGATCTGACGCGCAGCCTGTGCAACAACTTTGGCACGGTTTTGCCGTCGGATCTCGAGTGGGTGGGAGAGCGGACGGCCTGGACGGCGTGGTTTGAGGAGGTGGTGGGGAAGAGGAGGAGGGATGGGTTGTGGGATGAGGAGGTGGTTGAGGAGTTGAAGAGGGCGTGGGGGTGATGGGGAACGACCAATTCTTTATCATGAAAGGCTGGTTATGCAGTATGTAGCCGCATATTCAACTACTGTCTTATGGTTCTGGGGCCTTATTGTTCTCAGCTATCCCTCTCCATGAATTCATGTGAATTGATGGAAACATTGAAGCTTCGATCACGTGGCCTCGAATAGGATGAAGGTCCGTGCGTGGTGTTTGACGAACCGCGCGCCGATCTAGCGCGGCTATGACGGCTATGACGTCCCAAACAACACAAGCCAGCTCCAACAACCTCTGTTTAATCTCAAGCTTCCAAGCTTCCTCCGACACAACACCATCCCGCAACGCCCATCCGTGATATCTCTGCGCATTTGCTGAGGGCCTTCTCTTTGTTCCGTTGCTTCATTCTGCTATATCTCGCCGTCATGTCGTCTACCACCCTCACTGAACGTGAGGAGCCCGCGGCCTTCGCCCATCACAGCATCCCGCGCCGGACATCGCGACTTCCGCGCAAGCTTCGGTTTCCGATATTGCTGGCGCTCAACTTCTGCATCAACAGCTCGCTGTGGTCCGTGGCGGAGAAGTTCCTGCCGGCGGAGCTGGGTGCGGTCTCCAAGAATGAGGATGACATCTATCATGTGTTGGCCCGTCTGGCGTATAGGATTGGCTTCCTCTATTTCACGTGGAGGGCCAACTATGATTGTGAGTAATAGAGCCCTTGTTGTTGCGGCTTGCGCTAAACTTCTGATGTAGGGGTTGATGTCAGCGCCCTCACCACCTTGACGACTGTTCCATACGCCTACGTGCTCGCGACATACTACGCCGTCTCCAAACAAACCGTCGCCGTCCTCACGACCATTGAGGTCCTCTCCATCGCATTCCCAACCCTCCTCCTGCGCCCGCTTTCCCCATACCACAAGCCGAATGCACCCGTCCAGACCCGCTTCCTCATCGAGAGCTTCCAAGTCCAGGTCTCCACCGCCCTTCTAGCAATCGGCGTCTACGTGGTCGTTCTCTGGGTCGCCATCAGATCCTCCCTCCTCAACACCTTCCTCGTCTCGCACTTCGACATCCCCACTCTCGAGGAATCGCACACTGAAACCCCGCTCTCTCTCGCCGTCAAACTCGCTCCCGCCGGCCTCGCAGCCCGCTCCTTCCTGCTCAACCCTTCTTTCGGCGCTCAATCCGGTGCTCGCACACCCACCCGGGCCTTTGATCCGGCCACGGCGACGCTGTCGGAAACGCTGCGGTATAATTTCTGGTTCTTCACCAAGCGCACGCGGACGCTGATTAAGCAAACGGCCGTCATATCGGCGTTCATGCTCGTGAATACGGCACTGAGGACGTTGACATTGCAGGGGTCGGATGCTGTCGGTGCCACGGGTTATGCGGCTGGTTGGGTTTTGGCGACCGTGGTTACGGCGGCGTGGTGGCTGTGGGTGGGGGATACCGAAGATTAGAGGGGATTCGCTGCTTGGAACACAAGAATATTAGGAATGGTGAGAGGGAAAGGATGGGAATTGGGCCGATGAGGATAGATGTTGCGAATAAATCAGCTTGGGCGAGAAGATTGGGTTCTTGTTGGTGTGTCAGAGAGGTGGGCAGGGAATGCGCTTGAGGCACTGTTTCGATACCAAGTTACGTTTCCCCTGTGTACGGGAAAGATAGGTGCACAGGTGTTACTAAGCTATCTAGGATGGATGAAAGCATATACTCTCTCTCTTTTGGCATTGCACGTCGACGAAGGCGTGGTCCTGGTGGGGGGTTAGGACGGTTAGGACATGTAGTTGGCCCATGACGACTACCTGTTGAGGAGGTGCGATTGTGCCTTCCCTCCGCCTCCGGTCACAGAGAAGGGACGACCTCGGGATGTGTACGTGGACGTCGTTCCTCCTCCCTTCGGAAGTCCGGCTGCTCTTCTCGTGCTTCTTAGAACCCTCCGCGGTAAACAACTACTTCTCTGCTTCACTTCAATGTTCCCATCACTGGCACAGTCCACTCCATCGCTTATCTCCATCGTTTCATGATATATCCCATCGATCAAGCATCGTTATCCATCTTACCATTCATCTACTCTCGTTTCCAATTCCTACCCCACGCCATCATCGCTCAATAGATGCTCCGAGATGACGAAGCTATGGGGCCTCGATCTCAGCGAGCTTCGCTGGAACAAACTGCGCAGCGAGAACATGTGGTACAACCGCGACTATCACCACAGGCGGACAAGGTTCATCTGCTATCATGCGGCCACGATATTCTGTGTTATCAGTGAGTGTTTGGGGACGAAGGCACTGGCCGGTGAGTAGAGGATCCCATTCCCATCACCTTCCCGTCATCCTTTGGTGCTTAGCTGGACTAACATCTATCCTTAATTCGTCAGACTACGCCAGTATCCAGCCCTCCATCGCCGCGAGCACACAGCCCCCTTTCCAAACCGACACCACTCTCTTCATCGCCGCCGCTGCCTTCAACATCTTCGCTGGCGTCTACGTCGCCGCCGTCTTCGGCACCGCCTTCTTCTTCGACCTCTTCTGGCCCGACCGCAAGGAGAGTCGCGCCGTCAAGCGGGCCTGGGCCATTTGCTCTGTCCTGGCCTGCTGCGTCACACTGACCTCCGTCGCCTTTCTGACGCACGTCGTCTCGAACAAGTCTGTGCGCGTCACGGACGAGATGGGTGTTGACAGGGTTCTGACAGACTACCATGGCCCGCCTCTGAGGTACAGTGAGAATGCCTTCGCCGTCGCTGTTACGGCTTTCATGTGGGTGGGTTGCTTGTGCACCTTCCTCAGCACAGTCTACCTCATTGAGAATCACTTCCACATCAGAAAGTTCGGGGCCAAGTCCACGCTTGGCCGCCTCGCGGATGTGGACGGGGAAGGGGACGAAGAGGGCCTCGAAGCGGAAGCCACCAGGAAGCCGACCCTAGGACTCGCCGCTCCCAGTAGCGTTCCTTATCAATATGGCCAGCCATTCTCGTGGCCCGGGGAAAAATGGATTCCAGAGAGTCAAATCGGTGACACGAAGTCTGGCCGTTCCCTTCGGCTTCAGCCCGTTGTGGGCTCGACGATTCAAGAGTTGGAGGACTCGAAGCCCAAGGACGGGGTCCATGGTTTCTTACCGCAGGAGCAACGGGAGAGTGTAGCGCACCCGATGAAATTACCTGGGCCGCAGGATGGGGCCCCGATAATGGTGATTTCGAGGGGAGACTTGAAGAAGAAGTTGAATGAGGTATTTGAGAAGATGTTTGCGGAGCCGAATGCTGGGTTGACCGGGTTCTCGCAGGCTGAGCGCCAGGAGCTTCGCATGAAGTGGTATGATCGCTGGGGAGGGACGGCGAGATTGCTGGAGAAAGAGGTGGTTACGCCCAAGGAGTTGGAGAGTGTGGATTGGTATATCTCGGTTGTGCAGTTTGCCCTCTGGATTGTGCAGATGATGCGACATGAGGAGAGGTTAAAGAGGACTCTTGAGGAGAGGAAGTTGGGCTGGAATGAGTTGGCAAAGGTGGAGTCTGAGAAGAGAGGGTTGGTGGTGTATGGGAAAGGGATCTTGGACAAGGGAAAGGCGGAGTTGGGAGATGCGAGGTATAGGCCGGCCTATGGGATGGCGCTGTGGGTGTTGGAGCAGATTCAAGAGATTGAGAGCAGAAGGGAGACGGGGGCCAAGCAGGTGACCGCCTTTGAATTGCCAGCAAGCGAATGCACCCCGGCAAGGCCCCAAGCAGCAGACAAGATGGACGTGGCGTTGCCGGAGGAATGGGGTGGTGGATCTGAATTCTCGGATTTGTTCGAGGAGATTGACCGGATTGGAGAGGAATGGAGGGCAGAGAGTGTCACCAGCGGATGGGAGGCAGACACTCCGTCCATTCCGTCTGACCGTACCGTCACCCAAGGAGACTGGGTGCCAGAAGAGGAGGAGGAGCACGAATTGTACCGTCCGTCTTCAACCGTCTCGTTTGACAGGGCCGACCAGGAGGTTTTACATGTTAAGCGAAGGCGTTGGGAGCATGACGGGGTGCTGGATCCCATCTCGAGCAGTGAGGCGGGCAAAGCGGCGTACGGTTTGCCCTCAATCTACTCGTTCAAGAGAAGCAACCAAGAAGAGTTCAATGGTCCGTACCGTTCGTCTTCAACCTCCTCGTTCAAACGGAGCAACCAGCAGCAGTTCCCTGGTATGTACCGTCCGTCCTCGGCCTTCTCGTTCCAAAGGAGCAACCAGGAGGAGTTCAATGGTCCGTACCGTCCGTCCTCGGCCTTCTCGTTCCAAAGGAGCGACCAGGGCGTGCCAAATTGTCAGCAGAGACATTGGGAAGGTGAAATCATGGATCCTGTCTTGGTCCGGGAGCCGGAGCACGAGTCGCACTGTTCCTCTTCAACTCTCTCGTTTGAAACAGCCTACCAAAACGTGCCAACTGGTCGGCAGAGACGTTGGGAAGATGAAATCTTGGATCCCATCTCGGCCGGGGAAGCGGAGCAGGAATTGTACCGTTCGTCTTCAACTTTCTCGTTGGAAGGGAGAAATCAGGACTTGTCAAAATTTCAGCAGAGACATTGGGAGGAGAAGGTGCCACATCCCATTTCGCGAGCCAAACCATTGCGTGCTCCCGTGAGGCCGGGCAGAATGCACTCTTTCAGGCAGAAGTCGGGACGTACCACCGAATTCCGTGCCGGTCCTGGTGAAGGTTACGATCCGGCCGGATGGAAAGAGACGGGTGATCGTTTTGTCCCTGGCTTGGACGTGGACAGGACGGCTTGCACCATTCCGGACCCGTATGCCAGGTGGACAACTTCGAGGGTGGTTGGGTTGGAGAAGGATACGCCGACGCCGCCGACGCCGCCGGTGACGCCGCGGCCGCCGGTCTTGGAAGAAGTGCGTCCGGCGGGATTCAAACCGGGCGAGTTGTATGATGCTGTGTTGGGGAAGTTGAGATGAGTGTAGGTGGTGGTGGTGGAGGATAGTCTTATTTTGCTAGAATGGCAGATTTGGTCGGATTGGGTGGCACTCTTTGTTTGATGGATGTCGTTCGTTCTCTGTTTGGGCTTGATGGATGCCCTGAGAGGGGCGTGGCTATGATCTTGTTATTATTCTTTGAGCAAGAAGGAATACATGCATACATGGCACTTGAATTCCTACAGACATGGACCGGAGCAGGTTGGTTGAATGAGAGATTGGAGTGCTTTTCATTGCTGCAGGGCATCTGCGTCTGCGTCTGCGTTTGTGCCTGTGTCTGTCTACATGCGCATCTGCTCTTGAAACCATGCCGCCGCTGTACTGTACAAATCCATCAACATCCCACAACCACGTCCATCCATCCATTCACCGATCCATCCATCTATCGTACCAAGTCCACTCCAACACTCCAGTCAGAGTGGAGCCCCGAAACGAAAAAAGACAACCAAATGCACCAACCGTCAACAGAAAGAAAAAAAGAAGAAAAGATTTATCTTACATTCCAGAAGAAGAAAGAGCCAACGCGAAGTGAGCAGAGGTGAAGTGAAGAGAAGAAGAGATTGACAACAGATACACACAGCTCCGTGGGTAGAAAAACACGGAGATGGCAGTAGGTAGTAGTAATACATCGATGGGTACATGCATGGCACATTCCCCTTCCCCTTCCCCTTCCCTTTCCCCTGCGACACAACCCACCCACCATCCTTTTTCTCCTCTAGCAAAAAAGCTGATGAGAAGATGCACATCATGCCAAGGGGAATATGGGGAACAAAAAAACGTTGCCGGCCGTGAGTAAACAATCCGATGCTGCTATCCAGTCCTCACCAGTCTTGCAAGGATGAGGATAAATGCCATTCGAGAGATCAGCAAAACGTCGGAATCAACGTAGATCAACGTCGCTGATGCCGCTGATCATGCTGCACCCATAGTATGACATGGGGCTTACGACGAGGATGGCGCGCCGGCACCCTTCTGAGCCCTCCTCTTCGGATTCGTCGTTCGCTTCTTGGTCGTCTTCTTCGGCGTATCTCCTCCCTCAATGTACCGCACCAACTCCTCCACCGTCCGCTTATCCGTCCCGCTGCGCGGCCTCGTCGGCGCCGTCGCCGTTGTCTCGCCAACCGTCTGGCCAACGCTGGCCTGCGGCCGGAGACCGCCCGCACGACCCGTCGTCAGGCGCACGCGCTGGAGCCTTCCCTTGGCCAGGTCCTGGAGCTGCTTGGCCTGGCTGACGGCGCTCTGAGTGAGCTGCTCCAGCCAGTTCTCCGCCTCCTTGGTGTTGCGGTCCTCGGGGCCTAGGATATTCTTGAAGATGTTGTACGAGTCGCGCATCTTATTGACCGCGCCGCGAATGTCCTTATCCAGGGCGAGTGCCTGTGAAGTCTGGAAGAGGAGAGTGGCAGTGTTGATGGAATTCTTGCCGGACACCTCTTCGCAGATGGCGAGCGACGCTTCGAACCAGATGCGCGATTCGTGGTACTGCTTCATGGATTGCAACATCACGGCAGCGTTGTTGATTGTGGTGATGGAATCAGGGTGATCAGGGCCATAGATGATCTTCCACAACTCGAGGGCGTGGCGGACATAGACGAGAGCATCCTTGGTGTTACCGTTGGCGTGCTCGAACAGACCAAGGTTCAGATAGTTGAGCAGCGTATCGGCATGATCCACACCGAGAGTCCTCTCGGACACAATGACGGCCTTGTGGGCAAGTTCAACCGCAGCGTTCTTGTCTTCGAGGTTGAAGAGCAGGTTGGAGAGAGCGTGGTACACGCGGGCAACCTCGGGATGGAGCACGCCGTAGATCTGCTCATGGAGAGACAGCGACTCCAGAAGAAGTTCCTGGCCGAGCTCCTTGTTGTCCTGAGCGATGGACATGCGTCCAGCCTCGAGCGCTTCCTCGGCCAGTAAGCTCTTGGGGGAAGCCTCCTTCACTATAGGAACGATGTTGATTATATCATCAGCGTGGAAAGTCTGAATAGGGCGGACAGGAGCAGGGCTCGTGACCCGCGCCGGGGAGTTATCCTTGCTCCTCTTCTTCTTCTTGCCGGACGTGGTAGCCTGTCCGTTAGTGGCCGGTGCCTCTGCCTGGGCGCCATTGGTGCTGGCAGCGGCCGCTTCCTTCGTGTACACGTACTCCTTTGACTCAAGCTGAAGACCCAACTTGAGCGAGACTTCGCGGAGGAGCTGGAGCTGCTTGCCCGGCTCCACCCAAGATTGTCCAAGGTCATAACGATACCTCAGAGCAACCTGTTCAGTAACCTCAGCCTTCAAACTCTCAGGAGTAAGCTTCTCGAAACTGAAGTCGGCCTCGGGGTACATTGCCTTCAACGCGGAGTCAGTCTCGGCCACGGGCTTGGGATTGACATCGCCGCCCAGGAGGCAGTTCAGCATATGTGCAATTGCAGCGCCGGCGAAGGGAGGAGCAGTGTTGCGCAGCTTCGGGTTCGCGAAGTGTTTGAAGCCGCGGGCGATCATCTCCTGGATTACCAGGCGCTTGAGTGCCTGCAAGCGGGGGTCTTCCTTATCAGCAAGCTCAGCAATCTTGCCAAGGTAGCGGATGTTGACACCACGCTTGTGAAGCAAGGTGCTAAGGGATTGACCGTCCATAGGGAAGCCCACCTCACCCTCCTTGAGCTCCTGGATCAACCGAGGGATAACCTCTGTGGACAGGTGGTTGCAAGCAGCCCTCACTTCGGCCTCATCTTTGGCCCACTCCTCCTTATCCTCGTCCGTCTGGGGCACTTGGCCAGAGAACACATCCGGGTTAAGGGCGAACTTGAAGCCAGAAATATCGACGCGGTCCTGCTCAGCCGCTTCTGCCTCCTCCTTCGCCTCCTTCGCCTGAGACGCATCCTCCTTCTCGTCACCCGCCGACTCGCTGGTGCCGTCCGCCTCTGGTTTCTTCTCTTCCTCCTTCTCGGCCTTCTTGGACTCAGCCTTCTTTTCCAACTCCTCCTTGACGTATTCGCGAAGCTTGAGGCGTCCGTACGATTCGACGAGCTCAGGACGAAGGGTTGCCATACGGTGGGGATAGTTCTTATCCTTTGGCCGCTCCTCGCCCTCCTTTGGCTCGCTCCAGTACTCTTCAATCCATGCAACATCCAACGGAGTCAGTCGGTACAGATCCAGCGCATAGCGCCTTCCATCCGTACCAATGAGACCCTTGGTCTCTACGCTGCCCTCCAATTCATGCCGGACGTTATCCTTGTCCCACACAGGGTGTCTCTTGACGCGTAACGCTTTGGAGAGCTGCTCGAACAAAGGCACGAACGACTTGTCTTCTGCTACAATCTCTTTGCCTTCCACCGCACCATAGTCAATCTGATGCTCGCCCGGATCCCTCTGTTTGAAGATGCCCGGAACAATGCTCTGACCCACAATACGCTTACCAAGGTAGTCGACTACCACAGTCCCTGAGGTGAATAGGCCTGGTATGTCCAGGTTATTCACAGCACGTACACCAACCACATCCTTGCCAACTGCAACCCGAGCAGCTTCGTCACCGCCTTCCGTGGTGAAAGTACCAACACCATCGGCACCGAAAGAATAGAAGATGTTGTTGTAGACGAAGATCTGAGCATCTTTGGCTTCAGTTGGATTCAAGGGCGCAATCTCACCTCGCGCTACAAGCATAGCGCCACGGGTGGCTGCGTCGTTGTAGTCGGCAAAGAGCTTAGAAGTCAGACGCTCCCTGAACACGCGATCCTGGACAGCCTCCTTGGGCATCTCACGAGTTGATTGGAACTCCTCGTTCCAGTCACGCAGGGTCTCCGCATTATCCATGCCTGAAATGAGATAGCTCTCCTGGGTTCTTGCAAGATCCGACTGATGCGTAGTGTGCGAGGAATTTGGTGCAGGTACCTGCCAAGGGTTGGCAGGGATAGCATTAGAAAGCTGGAAAATGGTAAGGAGATCCTTCTTCGCATTGTACTCGAGCAATTCCTTGAAAGCTGCATCGAAAGATGGAGAAATGGCAGAGATAACAGTTAGCAGCGAATGGGCGGCGTGATCCCGAGGTGCCTGTCGAGGGGACGGGTCGAACTTGGCGTTGGAGGATTTGTTGACGTAGAAACCACCGACGTGGGAAGTGATCTGGTACTGATCACCCTCGTTGGTAGTAACGATGAGATAGAGTAGGTGGCCCTTGGAGCGCAGGTGGTATGGGGGCGGATTCCAAGGGGAGACGGAAATGGATTTGACGGTCTTAGGAGCCGGCTCCTGAGGCGGGGGGAGGAGGTGCTTGACAGACGCCGGCGCTTTGAAGTCGTAGTCGGCAAGGGCAGTCTGCTCCGTGGCCGTCGGCTTTCCGGACTCATCCAAGCCTACCGTATCGTGCAGGGACAAGCCAGCCATGACACCATGTAGGGTATCGGTACGATCCCCCGCGGCACCGACGAGTTCGCGGATGCGAATGACGTGCATGCGGGCCTCCTTCTCGGTATAGGGATCCTCAACCAAAGTCAGCTCGGAATCGGCCTTCAGCCCCGGGACTTCGGAGAGCTCGATGAAGTCATTGATCCTCTGTCCCTCGAATTCGAGGTGGAAGCAGGAATACTGGAAGGTCTGAGGGGTCTCGATGATGGATTGGCGGAGGTCCTGGACCTGTTCCTGCGGCGAGATCTGCGAAGCGTCAGCGCCGTGGTTGACGGAGATTGACCAAAGACGTACAGTGATGCGTGTCTGGAAGGGCTCATGGGGTAGCTTGACGGTGATCTGGAAGATGTCTATTGCAATTCGGTCAGTGCTGATTCTGACGTGGGGAAGACGGATGAGGAGGAACATACTGTCGGCCGGTTGGTTGTTGTCGGCATTTTGCTCTGTTGGTAGGGGCTCCGCAGCCTCAGCTTTGAAGAGAATAGTTAGCTATAAACGGCGAGAACTGGTTTGCTATGCAGATGCTCACCGGGCTTGGGAGCGTCATTGTTGTTCGAGGTCATGGCTATTGCTCTGAATTCCGAGTTTACACTGGTCCACAGGTCCTAGCTAGGTGTGTGAATATGGAGAATAGAGGGCGCAGAAGAAGGAAATTAAGCCGGAGAGAATAGATAATATACAAAAGCGGGCATTAATGTACAATGCGCAATGGAGGAATGGCGGAATGGGCAATGGACGTAAGAAATGGAGTTTTGATCGAGAGGGTCCAGCGTATGGGCACGAGATTTTTCATGAACCCAAAAGCCGCAAGCTGAGGCGCTAGCCCCAATCGGGCGGCCTCGGAAGAAAGCCGGCTCTGCGGATTTGTTGACCCCCAGGAAATGTGACGAAAAGGGCAGGGACGAGGTTGGCGCGTCGAGAGGGGCAGGAGCGACCCTGAGCACGCGCAGAGTAAATAGAACTATTACCTCGTCAGATACAATATCTCTCCCTCCACCACTTTGTCACGCCCTTCCTCCACTCACCCGCTCAAACCATCCCACGTTACACCACGCCTGCCACACTCCCTGGGAGGATGATGACGATGTGCAGCTGGCCGCTGCTTCGATTCCCCGTTCAGCTCGCCGAGCCCTAAGCTCTGCCGCCAGCGGGCCGCTCACAACAATCCTCCAGCTGAATCCTGGGTCCCCTTTCTCCGCCATCGCTCCTCTCCTCAACAGCACCTTTCCCGCCCGTCTGTGTTCATGGACGCGACCTCTCCGCCTCCGCAGCGGTGTCGACCATGATACGCATCCTCCGCCATGCCTCCAGAACGCCTGCTGCGCGTGCCCATCTCGTCTCGCGTCCCCCTTCCAACCCTCTTTTACCCTATGCCGCAATATCGCCGCTCGGCCGACCGCATCCCACGCCCGTCGCATTCCCCTTTCAACGCCCACTGACAGGTCAGTCGGGCCCGCCCACGCCCGGAAACGATGCGCCCAATCCAGTCGACGATGCCACAGAGAACATCAACGAAGACAGTGAGAGCCAATCCCAAGATTCAAAGGCGAAGTGGAAGAATACAGCATGGCGCATGTTTGAATCCGCTGCCACTACGGGCGCGTCCATCTTCGTCCTCGGGCTAGTCGGCTATAGCTACACCATCTACTACAAGCATAGGGTTTTGGAGAAGATCGAGAATGCTTTTCGCCCTGGAGATCCTGTGTTGGAGCTTGCCGCTAAGGGCAAGGAAGTTCCTGCAAAAGACCTTCCCAGTGGAGCTGTTGACCTCGACCAGCCACAATACGATCGCTGGATCACACGTGAAGAACAGGCAAAAATCGACAATATCGTAAGCGGGAAGGACCGGGGCCGCTATCATTTGCTTATCGGCGAGAAGGGGACGGGCAAGAGTTCCATGCTCATTGATGCAATGTCCAAAATCGATGGCGAAGGCGTGGCAATGTGCGAGGCTCATGCCGATCCGGAAATCTTCCGCATCCGGCTTGGTCGTTGTCTAGACTTTGAGTTTCATGAGGACAATATTGGGGCACTCTTCTCCATTCGTGGCCCACGTGAGGCGTCCGCGCTCCTGGACATTGAGAGGGCATTCAACAAGCTCGAGAAGGTCGCTTTGAAGCGCCGCGAAAAGGTTGGGCGACCGCTGATTCTTATCATCAATCAGGCCCACCTAATCCGGGACGACGAGGATGGTCGCGACCTCATTGAGCTGATTCAGCAGCGAGCGGAGCAATGGGCCGCTTCCAACGTGGCTACCGTGATTATGAATTCGGACAAGTACTGGGTCTATGAGCGCCTCAAGCGGCATGCCACACGCATGGAGGTTACGCAGGTCGGCGATTTACCGAAAGACCGCGCTATTCAAGCGCTCCGCAACTACCGCATGAAGTACTTCAAAGAGGAGACGCCGCTTTCAACATTGGAGGAGGTTTATGACAAAATTGGCGGCCGTCTGACCTTTTTGAACAGGGTGGCCAAGTCGCGGAACATGATCAAGATGTGCGACCACATCTGCGAGATGGAGAAGACCTGGTTCTTGAACAATTGCGGGATTCTCGGCGCCGAGATGGACGACGATGTCATGGATCAGCAAAAATATGCGGTATGTACTCGAATCGTGGCCGCAGCGGCGAGACCGACGCTCCTAACAAAACACAGTCCACTGCCATGGTTCTCGCCCACGCACTCTATAAGAAATCCCTTGAGATGGAGAAGACCTATGACCCAGAACTTGGACATATCCTCCCCGAGTTCCCCCTCCATGTTGCTCGCTCCATCATGACGCGAGCCGATTTCATCCGGCAACACCACGACCTCTCCATCTTCGCGATCGATTCCCATGCCAATGTTCGTGCCGACAGCGTTCCCATGCAGCGCGCCTTCAATGAGATTTGCTCCGAGGAAGGATTCGAAGAGAGGCTCGAAGCGACGCTTGAACGCATTGGGGACATTGAATCTTTGGGCCGTACGAAGGAATTGACGTTCAAGGACCTCTGGGAGGGAGGCAAGTACCGCTTTACGGTCAGAGATCGCAAGGGCGGCGTGCAGAGTGAGATGGAAATGGTTACTGTGGAGGGTAAGAAGGACGATGATGAGAAGAGTGATGACTAGGAGCAATAATTGGGATGCCAACGATATGACTGTACGGATACGAAACGGGCTGGCTGGTTGTATGATATCGGTGGCGGTTTTTGGGCGGGAATCTTTCTTTTGTTGTCTTTGGCGACGCACTGCGTGCGTTGTTATTGGTATGGTAGGGAGGATCTTGAAGGATTTCTTTTGTTTAGTGTTCGTTTGGTAAATGATACCCTTCGTGTCCTAAGTGTGTTCTTCTATGATGGTCATGTTGATCACAGTACGTCGTTTACTGTCACAGCACGCTCGGTGGGTATATCGGTACAGAGATTTCACAGACAGTACCGAACGTTACGTAGGTACTTGTATCACTGACCTTCTGACAGTGACGGCAGTGAAACGACCCCGCCTGAGAAAAAACCAGCTGTAGAGGAAA